GACCTCGTCTCACCGTCTTCTTCTTCTTCTTCTTCTTCTTCTTCTGTGGCCTTGGTGGCAGTCTTCTGTTTCTTATTCCTGGGTTCTTTGCCAATGTTTTGGAAGTATTCGTGGAAAAAGACATCTTCGGCAGCAACGTCCTCGGCCTTCTTGTTCCAGAAAGCCGCAGAATTGACTTGAGTTCCAGTTGCGCCAGCACCACGGCTTCCGAGCCAGATATCGCCGGAGTCTTTTGTGGCTCTGAGCGGCTGCATGATGGAAACACCCTTGGCACCATCGGTCGCCTTGGCATTGCGGTAAACAAACTTGTCGAGGAATCGAATGAGAGAGTGGCTATCGAGATCGGGTTTTTGCATCTTGGCAGCCTTGTTGACAAGCCCAGCGGCGAATACCGTGACTGACGGGTGATAATGCGTTTGCATGGGGATCATCTCCCACAGGCAACTTCTCTGAGCGTTGCTGTGCTCCGGATTCCGCTTTCTGCCATCATATGCTGGGCGCTGGATATCTTCCTCGTCATCATCGAAGACGGACTCTTCCGGTTGTTCAATGAGGGTAGATAGATCAGGGAAAGTCTGACGCAAGTGGCCAATTACATAAAGCAGTCCACACACAAACGGTGGTTGGTGCAGAACAGCGATCTGCAGCATCCTCTTGGCAAACGCTTTGACCCTACGCACATCAACATCGTTCTTTAAGGACCGCAGCAAAAGATTGAGGTACAGGGCTTGCTTTGAGGAAGTGACGAGACGAGGGTCCAGCAGAGACTCGTAGAGTGTGCGGTAAAACCGGTCGGTAGCTATGCTTCTCGCGAGAGAAAGGTGTTGAATCAACAACAAGGCCTGAATTCCCGTGTTGAAGTTGGCAGAGTGGGTGATCTTGAAGAGTGTGTCTACGTGGGTTTCCATTCTAGCTCTCCTCATTAGTAGTTAATCAAGTAATCAGGGCTGAAAAGCTTACACTCCGTCATTTGTACCAACAAAGGGCGCGGCACGATTGACACCAGTCAGTAGAGCAGATACCAACTTATCAGCAGCCTCTGCCTCCGGAACTGCTGGGATCGGCTTAGCCAATTTTCCACCTTTTCTGGGAGGCCGACCTCCAGGCTTGCCAGGTCTAAGCTCCGACTTTGTCTCTGCACCATCCTGGGTATCAGTTTCAATCTGCAGGGGAATACCCAAGCTACCCGATTTAAGCATGGCAACAAAGAGCTCGAAATAGATTCGAATGAGTGACTCGGCAACTGTGGGCTCTTTGCTGCTCAGGATAGTCTGGTTTAGTGTGTTGATAGCGTAATACTTGGACCGAGAGTCCTGGGAAGGGTGTAGTAAAATATCTTGCTCCACTGCGCGAATAATTACAGGCTTCATGCCGGGATGAGAATTCTGTAGCTGCAAGAGGAGGTATGAAACGCGAGACGCAATCTTCTTTTCTCGATCACCAAGTTTGTTGACAAGTAGTGTCAGGAGATTAGATTCTTGTTCGGGTTTCTCTTTCAGGAGAGCGTAGACGAAGTCCACTGCCTTTATACGTGAATACTCGATTTCATCAGAGCACCAGCCTTCCAAAAGTTGGATGATCTTGAAATACGTGGCCTTTAGCCAGTCTTCGAAAATCCATGAGATCAGATGTTCTTCGGAGATTTTGCCGGGAAGCGGTTGACCTGGGGCCCAGACCTTGAAAGAGTGCTTTTGAAGGGTACCAAGCAGACCAGGCTGATTCTGGAAAGTGCGGAGGCGTCTCTCGGTGGGAAGAAGGGTACCAGGGCCAAGTAGATCGACCAGCGCACCAATCGCACCAATAGCTTGACCTCGACTCTTTTTAGAAGCCAGATTCATGAGGGCGTCAAAGGCACGGATGTTGTGCACAGGAGACTCTTGAATAGCGAGAGTAAGTGCAGAAACTTTGTCGGTCAATGTACCAGAGGTCATGATGGTAGACAAGAATTTGTGTGAAGCTGAGGCGAAAACACTGGTTCGATATTTATCGGCGTCTTTTTCCAAAAGAGATTGAGCGTGTTGCTTAAGAGCTTGAATAGGAGAGAACAAAGGGCCGGCATCTTCAGTGATGGGAGAGGGCAACTTCGCAAGTTTGTAGGCATGCCAGTCGGCGCGGGGCTCAAAGGTCTGTCTATTGCGTTAGAAGTCAGAGATGGTTCACTTGAGTTTGATTCACATACCAAGTTGCCCAGATGGCGACTCTCGGGAATCTTCTCTTTCTCTTGATCGTCGTCATCTTCGTCGCCTTCTTCATCCTCTACTTCCTCTCTCTCGGCCTCCTCCCCATCTTCGTCCTCACTGGCCTCGCTCGCCTCCTGAGGTACAAACTCAGAGAATCCCAGTTTTTTGGAGAGCGCTTCAAGCTCGTCTCTCAGCTTCTTGTCTACTGGGGCCTTGCTCTCGCCGACCAGCTCGTCGTCCGAGTCAATGCCGTTGATCAACTCGAGATCGTCTTCGTCACCACCCAGAGCTAGGATTTCTGCAAGAAGAGCTTCTTGATCAGTCTTGGATCCATGAGTGACGGGTTCAGCGTCAGAGTTGCGCTGCTTCTTGACCATATGTGCAGGCGAGGCATTCGTGGGCGGTCGCTTGCGCTTGTGATCGTTGTCAGTTAAGCTGTGGTGAATTCTTGAGGTGAGCTTTGCGAGAGCGTCTTCATTGAAAGTCAGGCCACCACCGGAGCGACGAGGACCTTTTCCTTTTTGCTTTGACTTTGCCATAATCCAGTCCTCTGCAAATACAGAAATATGCTGTGTTGCAAATTCTTGGAAAACTAGAACGGCCTTTGGAGGTCCAACTTGGAACTTTTTCTGCGGGTCTTTCACTGCCCCCACTTCAAAGCGACCAGGGTGAGCCCCTTGGTAGCCACTGGTAGGTAGCGTACCCTGCTGGCCTGCGTACGTACCTGACCCTCAACATCCAATTCTATCGCTTTGCCTCCAATTGGGTGTTACATGACGGCGACGTTGTGAGCCTCCGGTGTGCCGCTGCTTTGTAGAATGTACACACTGGCCAGGGCGTCATGCAGGATCAAACCTGTTGACACCTCTGCCGTTGCACAGCGCCTCCCCAGTCTATACAATTTTCACCGATGCCGGTCTACTCTCTCAAGAATATGGGTGCCGACGGGAGGAATTGCCGAAACGGAAAACGAGTGTAGGTTTGATTCTTCTGAAACTACCAGCTTGAACTAATTTTTTCTAGCCGGGCATGAAAAGCTCGTGCGTGCCGGTTTTCTACGACAGGTAAGACTCTCAACGCAACTTGCAAAACCATGTGAACTGACTTCCGCAGTCTCAAGCCGGGATATTTCAATTTCTCCCGTTAGGCCTTCGTGTGCAAAAGAAGATTGAGAAATTGATCGATAAGCACATGGAGTCGATTGGTCGGTCACATTTTCTGAGAACTTGTACCACTACTCATCACGTCAACAGGAGCATCGCGACTCTCATTGTCTAGTATCACAACTGAAGAATTATGGAGAAAAAGCGATCGGCTAGACAGCGTCGCCCCAGAGGTGAGACGGTCCTCTCTACAGCCCTACATGTAACTAACTTGTGACAGCTCTTTCGTCTCAAAGATCGTAAAGAGGTTCCACTTATGCTTTCGCCAACGCACGAGGAGGAAATAACTACATTGGTCGCAAACACACTACAATCGTATAAAGACCTGCCTTTGAGACTGTATCAGATAAGTGAGTCCGTTGAGACTCGGATTGGAAGACACGTGCTAACAGACGTTAGCCAGAAAGTATCGTGATGAGATGCGGCCGAGGCAAGGTTTGCTTCGTTCCCGTGAATTCATCATGAAGGATCTTTATACCTTTGACCAATCCCCGGAGGCTGCGATCAAAACGTATGAGCAAGTTCAAACAGCCTACAAGGCCATCTTTGACGAGATGAAAGTGCGAATTCTCGTTGCCGAAGCAAGCTCGGGAGATATGGGCGGGAACCACAGCCATGAATACCATCTAGCTGATCCGACGGGCGAAGATACTGTTGCGCATTGCACTGGCTGTGGGTATACAGCAAATGATGAGGTCGCAGTCTCGCGGGCGAAACGATCAAATGCCTTCGACACATCTGTGCCATCTAACTACGGGTTATGGAGAGGGATCACCAAAGACCGAAAGACGCTCATCAACGCTTGGTATCCTCAACATAACGGCGGCAGACTCAATTTTCATGTCGTCAAGAGTCTGGTTCCAGAATTGGATACTAGTGTGCACGATCCTTTACCGCTTTGGGAGGTCGCAGTTGACAGCCCCGAGACGGTGTTGGTGAATATCATCGACAGCGAACTTGCGTCCAGCTTTGGAAATATTCATTCCGAGTTGCCTCTTCTCCCCGAAGAACTACGAGATGATTTTATTGGCCCTCAGTTCGCAACAAGCACAACTGCTAGTGGTGAAGGTTTGAATTTGCTGGCCGTGGCTGAAGGCGATGGCTGTCCCCGATGCGCTCCTGGAGTTCTGAAAATTGATCGAGCCTTGGAGCTTGGGCACACATTCTACCTAGGCTCACGGTATTCAAAGCCACTCGAAGCTCTCGTGACGCTTCCTGTCAGGCCATCACAGCCAGTTCCCATCCAAATGGGTTGCTTTGGCATTGGTGTGTCGCGCATTTTTGGTGCCGTGGCCGAAAATACAGCCGATAGCCGGGGTTTAAACTGGCCCAGAGCCATCGCGCCGTTTGAGGTCGCCGTCATCCCGTCCTCGACCGTCAATGACGAGACGCTCGCCTTTTTCGATTCCCTCACTGGGAGTCGGTCGTTTGACGCCGTGCTGGATGATCGGAAAAGACCCTTTGGGTGGAAAATGAAGGATGCTGATATGACGGGCTATCCGGTTGTTGTGATTCTCGGCAAAGCGTGGAGGGAGCGTAGTGTTTGCGAGGTTCAATGCAGAAGGCTAGAGCTCAAGCAGGAAGTCGCTGCATCAGAGCTTCCGGAGGTTCTGGGGGAGCTGCTACAACAGCTTTAGAACACGACTCGGGCGGAATAGGCCATTTCAGAATATTTCTGTGCTATGTATCTTACATGTAAACCTACTAGATATAATCAAGTCTATGCTAAAACTACAAGGATTCTTTGCTCGCCGTGCTGGGTCGTAGTGTGGTTGAACGAAGAATCTGCGATTACCTACCAACCTACGTTTGCCTAGATTGTTAGTGTGGGTCCAGCTCGCCGCTGAGCCAAAATATCAACGAGCTCTCGATGGTGGGGTTGATCGCTGTCGCTACTCTGCACATTCAGATAACAAATTCACAGCCAGCATGTCGGCAGGCGAGCGAGAAACAGGTACGGAAACTCTTTATTGTCAAGAAATACTCTCTGGTAGTGTATGCGACGCTGACGAAGTGATGCGCAATCAGTCAACCTCGACGCCTTGGAGCCGCAGCAGCTAGCCCAGGTCAAGAAACAGCTTGATGAGGAGCTCGAGCACCTTACGTCGTCTTTTTCGCAGCTTCATGGCGCCCAAGGAAAGTTCAATGAATGCCTGCGATGCGTCAACAGTCGCTCCGAGTCAAAAAATAGTAAGTTATTGGGTTATCCGCGGTCTGATGTCGAGAGCACACGACAGTCGCAAGTTAAGCAGGCGAGGAGGGGGCACACGCTAATGCAGATATAATCACTCGAGTGACAGGCTCGAACGAGGTCCTAGTGCCACTGACCAACTCTCTTTACGTACGAGGCGAATTAACGAATACCGAGACGGTGCTTGTGGATGTTGGTACAGGCTTTCTTGTGGAAAAGGTAGTTCGCACGGATAGCTTACCAAGGCGCGTTTGCTGACGGACGCTCTTAGAAACTAGAGTCGGCGGCTACGTTTTACGAAAATAAGATCAAGGAGCTGACGCACAGCCTGAAAGAGCTCGAGGCGATTGTTCAGCAGAAGCAAATGAACGTGCGCACTATCGAAGAAGGTACGGGATCCTTTCGACGATTTCCTATGATGTATACTGATGAGATGCTTTAGTTCTACGGCAAAAATTGATAACACAACAGTCCAGTCAATCTCAATCCTAACATGTCAAACAAATAGAAAGCCATTCGTTCTGCATCGTATTCTTGTTCTGTTCCGTTAAGACTGTAACTCTACAATAGCGGTCTGTATCGAAAACACACATTCGAGGAACTCCTTGAGACGCTCCTTAAGCGAGCCTTCTCCAGGCCACAATCGATTCAGAAGAGCTCCCTCAAATTCCCTCGACGATTCGTTGCTCTTGCATTCGCTAAGAGCTTCCTCCCAGTGAATACTAGACACTGATACGGACCAGCTCAGGCGATCGGGCTTAGCGCTGACGGGTAATTTAGCCCAATGCTGTGTGATGGAAAGCTGTATTTCATACGGTGTGTCACGATATTGAAGCCTCGCGCACGATTTGGTTCTAAAGTTGCTTGACACTTGAGCAAGATTTCCGTGTGCTGCCGTTTGCCATCTAGGGAGCTTGAAGCGTCGCGGGGGTCCGTCAGCTTCCTTGCTTGGTGTGTCGGTCTCAGCACAATCTTCTCCGTCAATTTTGAAGATGAATGAATGCACAAAATTAGCAGTTGCTTCCGAAAGTTGGCCGCTTCGGTCACCAACTAAGTTTGGCCGGGAGTCGACTCGCAAATTCCAGTCCATGTACCTGCCGCAATCAAGCTGTTAGTGAGATTGGCTGGCAACTTCATTCGTAATAGCGCAGGTTGTTGCTCTTACGTAGCTGGTGCCGAAACTATCCAATCTAAGGGAGGATGGCCTTCCGTTTGGGTGCATTTGGACGAAGTTGCCATAACACTTCCTTCTCTGTCTTGTAGGTCTGCAGAAACTGTCTGTTTGTCGACCTCGAATTGAACATGGTGCGTCAACGTTGCTTCGGCATTTTCTTTCGAAATCTCGCTATGGCTAATAAGTGAAGAAAGGAGTTCGTTGGCAACCTCGAAATTGGGCATCCTGTTATTGCTTGTTAAAGTGTGTCTTTCACGTCTGAGTATTGCATTTACTCTGTCTGAATTGTCGCTCCCCTCCCACGACTGGAGTATAGATCAAGAGCGCGGCTAAATTCTTCGACCGATAAACGATTGCCTGCCGTTTTTGGTTTCGCCGAAATGTTGAGATGTCCGAAATCGACATGCATTGTCAAGTACCGCAGGAACTTCAGTGTCTTCAATGCCGGTGGCAATGCTGCTGCAAATTGGATGACTAAAGCGTCAAGCATATACTTAGAGTAATGTGAATTGTTCTTGGCGCCTTTCACAACGGGCCGTTTGCCGATTTCGTAACTGATTGTGGACTCTTTGTCTCCCTCAGGCGACTGAACGAAATAGTGGGCTGTCAATGATTCCTCCGATAGCCGCATGTCGTGTATTTTCTGGTTGATCGCGTTTAGGGCAACGTGAAGCGGCTTTGTGTGAGTTGCGCTGACATCAAAACATGTTTCTGAGTTTTCTTCTCTGGTGATCCAGACTCGGTGTTCCCTGCGTATCTCGTCGAAAACTTGGAGGTTTCTCAAGGCCTTCGGCACAAGAGTGTCGCCAGGAATCACGATTTGCATCTGTTCAATCGTATTAGCGAAGGTTGCATACTTCTCGGTGGTGCATACATGGACGAGTTCTAGTCCAATCGGCGGTGCACTGCAGTACTCGCTCTGTGCCAAGTAGATCGCATCTTGGCGTTGCATATCGACCATTCGTTGGGCAGAGCACATAGTATCACCTGTCCCGAATCTGCCCCTGGGGTGTCTATTAGCTCTTTGTTTTAGAGCTTTTTTCGGACTCGGCTTCTTAGGGGAAGATGTCGGTAAAGATTTGTTTGTCGAAGACTCCCTACTAGGTGTTCCCGTACTCTGACTAGTGCTTCGACTATGGCCGTGGCCGCCGCGATGGGCGATTTCCTTACTGCGGGAGACCATGATAATGTTGAAGTGTAAAGTTGGATTTCTACTTGCCATAAATGTATAGTCTCTCTTTTTATGTTGGAAGAGTGATTTGTTGTCAGCTCCTGCCAGCTTCTGCCAGCCACCGCCAGCTGGCAGTCCTTGCAAACGGAGGAAAGACTGTAAACCGCATCTCAGAACAAGAGTTCACCTACTATCCCTCAGAAAGCACCGGTCTAACTGATCAAATGCAAATGAAGCAGTCGCTCATGCCACCACCATTTCGCCAGGAAACCGTTTCATTGTGCTTCGTCAATTGTATGCATATAGCGGGGCTATGCATCTAAGGAAACAGCCTACCAACGCGTCTTCCAGACGCGTAGAGTGGCAGCCATCAGCGATGTCAAGTGGAGGGCGACATATGACAGCGACTCGTTGCCTAGTATTGCGACACAACCGGCCACCACCATGCAGAACCAAGATGCAAGTAGTGAGCCTCGGACTCAGCGTAAGCGACCGGTGCAAGGTGTTTCCCGCGACGACTCAGATGACGAGCTGGGGACCGAGGATATTCCCTGGGAATGGATATTCGAACACAATGTGGCCGCACGAGATGTTAGCGAAGAAGGCGAGTGCAAACGACGCAAATTGGATGGCAAGTCAATCATCGGTGCTCGTCTCGGTACTTTCGAGTGCCGGATAGGGGACATTGTTCTTCTCAAAGGCGACGGCTCAAACGAAGCTTGGGTAGCTATCCTCTGCGAATTCGTCGAAGATGATGGCGAGGGCGACAAGGCAGCCAACTTCATGTGGTTCTCCACGGAAAAGGAAATTCGAAACAGAGACAAGAAGCGCAGTGACTTCCACTGGAACGAATTATACATATCTCCATCATGGGACGTGAATTCCTTGGCATCGATAAATGGCAAAGCCAGAGTTATGTCGCTAGACAAGTTTCTCTCACGATACCCCTCGGGCAAGATCCCACGAAACTCCCCTGAATATGGCAAAACATTTGTGTGTCGACGCGGTTGTAATACGAGAACAGCCACGTATACAAACGAATTTCTTTGGGAAGACATATATAACGGCGCCAATGATCTTTTCGGTCTCATGGATATGATTGAGCAAGACACCAAGGCAAGCCGTAAGAAGCGGCGAGCGAAAAGTCCGAGGCCCGGCGATGGCGGTTATTTCCCACCACAGACACCGACAAAGCAGCGAGCAACAGCAGCAACAACACCACATTCTCGGGGCCGCACACCACGAGGAGCAGGCAAGAAGTTAGAGTTCACACCGCTGGCGATGCGAAGACTTTCACCGAGCAATGTTGATTCTTCACCTTTTCAGATCGCGCGGTCACGGCTACATGTGTCCGCCGTTCCCGCCAGTCTACCCTGTCGTGAGGGCGAGTTTTCTCTTGTCTACTCACACCTTGAGGCAGCCATTACCGAGGGTACAGGGAACTGTATTTATATTTCTGGCACGCCAGGCACTGGCAAAACTGCAACTGTGCGAGAAGTCGTTTCACGGTTGGAAGATGCCGTGATCTCTGACGAGCTAGATGATTTCATATTTGTCGAGATCAACGGCATGAAGATCACTGATCCTCACCAGTCCTATACCCTCCTGTGGGAAGCACTGAAGGGGCAGCGCGCAAGTCCAACACAGGCACTGGACTTACTGGAGCGCGAGTTCAGCAATCCAAGTCCACGGCGTACTCCCTGTGTGGTGCTGATGGACGAACTAGACCAGCTCGTCACCAAGAATCAAGCCGTCATGTACAACTTCTTCAACTGGCCAACGCTGCGACACAGTCGTCTCATTGTCTTGGCGGTTGCAAATACAATGGATTTGCCGGAGAGAACATTGAGCAACAAAATCAGCAGTCGTCTTGGTATGTCTCCGACTTAAAAAAGAAGTAACTGTCACTAACCTATGTATCAGGCCTTACTCGAATCACATTTCCCGGTTATACTCACGATCAGCTCATGAAGATAATACAGTCACGTTTAGAGGGCGTGCCAGGAAACATTGTTGACCCAGATGCAGTCCAGTTCGCTAGTCGAAAGGTTGCTGCTGTCAGTGGCGACGCGCGACGAGCCTTGGACATTTGTCGAAGAGCTGTCGAGTTAGCCGAGGCCGACGCGCCACCCGATCCATCTACACCAAGCAAGAAGGCGCCCGGAGGAGACACGGCGGATCTAGCACGCCGCGGCCGCGTCACCATAGCCACTATCAAAAAGGCCATAAACGAAGCCACCTCAAACCCTATTCAACAGCATTTACGTGGTCTACCATTGACCAGCAAGCTTCTCATGGCGGCAATGCTCCTGCGGTTTAGAAGAACAGGCCTTGTCGAAACCACATTCGGCCAAACTCTCGACGAGCTGCAGCGAGTATCTGCATATGCGCCACGGGCCCCGTCTGGCATGGCTCAAATACTCGGCAGCCACGCCAAGGGCGCTGGACAGGGCGGCGCGCATCAGCGCCACACAGGACGGCCTGGCTATGTCCACACGGCTGCACTAGACCTTGTAGCTGCAGGCCTTATCAACCTAGAGGCCCAACGAGCCGAGAGGAGCAGCAAATTGCGGTTAGCAATTGCCGACGACGAGGTGAAGATGGCACTGCGCGAAGATCCAGAGCTTCGTGCACTTGGAATTGGTATATAAGTTGCAAAAGAGCGTAGAAAAAGCGGAATAGAAATACACCGTAGAGGCATGTGGTATCATCTTTACTTTTAGTCTCCTGTACTAGTCTAAAACTTGCGTCGTCCAAGTGATGGCGTCCACTGAAGAGGATGTGTCTCTTCAGAGGCGTTTTCGTCCTGTTTCCATATTTTAACTATGCAAATGTTAGCTGATAAAGGCTTTCATGGCTAGACACACAAGTACTTACTCGTCTTGTCAGCCTCACCACAGATGAGACGCAAGCCGGAGCGGTCAAATATTGAGCTCATAAGGCCAGCTTCTGCATCCAGGGAACCAGGCTGCGCTGTAGTATCCAGGGCCTGGAATCTGTGTCCAGACTTCCAGTCCCAGAAGCTCATGGAGCCATTGTCACCTAGGTTGTAAGAGTCAGATCATCCGACACACCAAGTGTGGAACTGCGACATACCTCCGGAAAACAGGACGTTATTTTGATTGACACTCATAGTGTTGATGATGGCATTTTGGCCGTCGAAGTTCTGCATAAACGCGCCCTCGGGGCATTTCCACTGCTTGATGCTGCCCGTGCTACCACTGGCAAAAGTAAATTCCTCGGGATGCACAGCCAGGGCACGGACACCCTTTTTGTGATGTGTGAGAACGCCCATGGCCTTGCCGGCAGCAAGATCCCACAAGCGAACAGTCGAATCAAGTGAGGCACTGATGACTTGGGGGTCTGCCTCTTGGCACTTGACGTCCGTCACAGTACCCGTGTGGCCAGAAAGAACATGAATATTGCTTCGGGTGCGCATGTCCCAAACACGAGCCACACCGTCGCGACCACCCGTGACTAGTACATCGAGCGTAGGGTGTAGTGACAGCGTGTAAACGCCGCTCAGATGGCCATGATAGTGGCGTATAACTTTGTTCGTTTCCAGGTCCCAGCACTTGACCATCTTGTCCTCACCGCAGGAGAAAAGGTAGGGGTGCCGCGGCGACACGGCGAGCCCGCGCACAGTGCTAATATGGCCTGTGAGGGTGAGCTTCAGTCCACCCGTCGCGAGATCCCATATCTTGATGGTGCGGTCTCCGGCACCACTCGCGAACCACTTGTTGCCAGGCTCTACGGCCAGCGCGCGCACCCAGCCCAGGTGGCCAGAGATGACGCGCATGAGCTTCCACGGCGGGTGCCACTCAGGCTTCACTTGTTGTATCGTTTGCGCGCCGAGACCGCCGCCGCTTCGCGTCGTCAGACTTGTATTCTGTTGCTGTGATGTACTTTCGCCGCTGGCTGGTGCGGCCGTCCTCGATCCGGGGCCCTCCAGGAGCTTTTGAGGCTGGCCGGGGCGCTGCGCGACTACCATGGACTTGGAGGCGCCTTTCTTCTGCGGCTTGCCAGGTTGCTTGGCGGCAAGGGATGGCGGCAGAATTTCAGAGCTGGCGTAATCGGTCTGGAACCGACGTTTCATCACGGTGTCGTCGAAGTCGTCGGCGAGCTTCTGGCGCTTTCCGGTACCACTAGGGCGGTCTTGCGATGCCGCTGTCGCACGCGCGTAAAGCTGCTGGGCCGCCGTCGAATTCTGCGAGATCATTACTCTGAGTTCCAGGGCATCCTGCGGGATTTGTGGTGTCTCCATCATGGATTGAATGGCTGCGACTGATGAGATTGTCGGCGAAATGCTAAAGGATCGAGAGCGACTGATGGAAAAAATCCCAAGGTAGTTTGGGCGCGCCAGACAATTTGAGTGGGTCACTGAGGCATGATCCGGCAAACATACAACGCGCGAAATGTACACTTGGTCGTATGGGATAGAAAATTGAAACATTGAAAGTCGTGGGAAGCTGAACTATTATCATTCCGGAACAATGGATTAATATATGTTCATTATTAATGGGTGGATGTTGCCGTGCAATGGACGAAGCAATATCGCTCCTCAACGTGCTACTGTATGAACGGCGGAGAGATGGCATCTTCTTTCAGTCTTGGCATACCGAGCCTATGCTTCGCCATGTCGTGATATATGCGGATTCAGCCGAAGAAGTCCACCGAACCTGGTCTGTGTATAGCTCAAGAAGACAGGCACCAGGGTAAACTCTATCTATGTCTGTCCAACTGTCCTTTGGGCGGTTCCGCCAAAGCTGCACATCGCTCTAAAGCAAGTTTGAGGGTACTTGATAAATTTCTTCTATTCAAAGTACGGTGCCGCACCAGGTCCCACGCAAAGGCTTCATTGGATCTACTATGGGAAAAAAGTAATTGCACCACGTTTTGACTTTGACACAGAGGCGTTGTAAGTGCAAGCCAACGCGTTCCGGGTGTCTGGTGGGGCGTCTTTACTTGGACCGTTGGCGCCTCTCGGGCTTCCATCACTTCCTCTTGAACATCACAGTCTTCCGCGACAACGTCAGACTCTAAGATGGTTCAGTCCGTGCTATACTGAAACCTGAAGATATGGCTGATGAAAACGACCGATTTCCGTTACATACGGCGGCGCGTGAGCGCCGAGGTGCGATGGCCAGTTCTGGCTTGTATTGACCGTCGCTAACAATTCGACAGTTGCTGTTGCTGACGGCCTACTCAAGGTACCCTCTTTCTGCAAAGCCAAACAAAGCCTACTCTAATCATGTTCTCTCTTTTTTTTTAAAAAAAAAAAAAGACAAGTCCCAAACTATCGCAAAACAAAGATGACGATGGTCGTTATGCAATTCACTGGGCGGCATCTTCCAACTGCCTAGATATCGTTATCATGCTAGCGAACCAGTCATCCTTTGATCCAGATCTGCAGGTATTTGCCTTTCAGCCTTTCTACCCAGCTTATGGTTACTCATTCTGCATCTCCTAGGATGAAAGCGGCTGGACGCCGCTCATGATTGCCGCCAGCGTCCCTGAAAGTGACGACGTTATCAGGGTGCTCCTCAAAGCTGGCGCGGATATCAACAAAAGGAGTACGTCTCCATATTTGTCCACCTCCATTTACGACATAAACATCTGACATGAGTTCTCTTACAGACAACAGCGGCCAGACGGCCTTGCACTTTGTCGCCTCAAAGATGAGCCTAGATACCGCCAAGTTGCTCCTCGAGCACAAGGCCTCGACGCGCGTCAAGGACCGCCGCGGGCAATACCCCCTGCACCGCGCGGCCGCCATCGGCTCCGTCCCTATGTGTCTCTTGCTGCTCAAGAAGCTCAGCCCCACGAACCCGCAGGACGTCGAGGGCTACACGCCACTGCACCACGCCATCGCCGAGGGTCACGGTGACACCGCGGTGGCGCTACTCAAGGAGGGGGCCGACGCGACGATTAAGAACGTAGAGGGCGAGCTAGCGCTCGATTTGGCCCCGGACAAGGAGGTGCGTACGTATATACTACGCGGAGCCGAGCGCGAGGGTATCGAGCTGGAGAGCCAGTGAATGAAGAACAAACAGAAAAATCGAGGATCCTGGTGGAGATGGTTGTAGATGGTTGAAAATTTCAATTGATAGAAAAAGCAAGGTACACATGGCTTTACAGAAGCAGCGCCTATATCTACATGTGAAAAAGAATAGAAGTAGAAGGTTGCCGCTAGGCTTGCCTGCGATGTTTCTATTTCATCGTCTGCTCGATGAGCTCGCGGTACATAGCCTTGACATCCTGTACGTCCGCGCGCAGCTCCTCCACCAACTCGCTCTTTTCGCCGAGCATCTCCAGCGTAGTCTGGTAGCGCGCGTCAAGTTTTTCCACCTGCACCTGCAGCTCTGGCACGCGCGCTGACGCCGTCTTCGCGTCCTCGAGCTCCTTCATCAGGCCAACCATGTCGGAACGCGCCTCATCGCGCTGGTTGCATACGCGCGCCATCTCCTCCTTGGCCGCTACCTTTTCGGCCTCCAGCCGGCGAATCGCCGCGCTCATACGCTCAACAAGCTGAACAGAGGGGCCCGCGGCGACAGTGGACATGGAAATCATGTCCGGAGCCGCCGCCGGCCGACGCGGGGAGGAGGGGACGGCGTCGTCGATGCCCAGCAGGCCGCCGTTGTCCGCATCCTCCTCCACGGCGGGCGGGGAGAGCGCATGGTGGCTGCCGAGCTCGCCGGATTGCTGAAAGGCCGAGAAAATCGGCGGCGGCGCGCCGGGGTTCGGGCTTGCCGACGACAGACGGAGAGATGGCTGCGCTGACGGTCGTTGTGAGCGCGGACGTGCATCCGTGTCGGGGATGCTGCCTGATAGTGGTGTCGAGCGATGACGGAGCGAGAGGGGTAAGCCGCCGAGACTGGCGAGATCAGTGCTAAAAGTGCGGGAAATGTAGTCGGGGACAGGCGACTGGGGCCGGCTGTTCATCTTGTCCCCACGGACGGCCTCTTCTGTCCATTCAGTTTGCTGCGCGGCCAAGTCGCGGCTTTTAGAGCGCTGCTCCCTCTCAAGGTCAGAGCGAGCTTGATCGAGGGCCGCTTCAGTAGCCTTGGATGACATCTTGAGCGCGGAGAGCTCGTCACGAGTCTTCTCGAGCTGGTCTCTAGCCCTGGTCAAAGCAGGCTGGACATCCTGTAGCTCTTCGTCGAGCGTTCTGGCCCGCGTAGTCGAGTCACGCGCCTTCTTGCGCATTTCGGATTCACGCTTACGTGCCTCGTCCCTTTCCTTTTCTAAATTTGACACCTTGGCTAGCAGTGACGACTCCATCGACTGCCAGTTGTTGCTTGCAGACGCGTACTGCGATTGTAGAGTCTCAATCTGCCGGAGCAGCTTGACCTGCACTTCGCCACCGGAACCTGACGTCGCCTCTTCGGCCTGCGTCCGCATGAGCTCGAGCTTTGCCTCCATAGCCTTCATCTCGACACGCAGCTCATTCTGCGCAGTGCGTCCACGCGCAACTGCGCGGTCGAGCTTTTCGCTCCACTCAATGCCGTCTTGTCTGGCTTTTTCTTCTAGGGCGTCCTTTTCGGCGCGCAAGATCATAAAGCTCTCTTCCCGAGTCTTCAGTTTCTCCCGCTCAGTAGCGAGATCATTGCTGAGAGCCGCAGCTTTGCTTGCTTCTTCAGTCTTTGTCTTAAGTTCGCGCTCAAGGTTGCGTATCGTGTGATCCCGTGCCGTCTTTTCCTTCTTTAGGCTGTCAAGCTCTTTTTGTAGGCCGGCGGTTGCCCTGCGCATTAGTTCCTGCTGCTTTTCCTGCTCTTCATTACTGTCAAGCCGCGTGCGCAGGGCCTCAGCATCGGCGAAAGCTTTATCCTTAGTCTTCTTGAGCTCCTCATTCTGCTTCTCCGAATCAGTGATTTGCTGGCGCAGCTTCTTAATTATGGTTCGATATTTTTGTTCTCCAGCCGCAAGCTTCTGCCCCTCTTCCATGAGCAGGGCAATTTTCTCGTCTTTTCCAGCCAGCTTGCTTTCCATGCTGCCAGAAGGCGCGGCATTTGCGGCCTTTTGAGCAGTCTCAGCAGCCGACTTGGCCAGATATTGCAGCTTAGACTCTAGCGAATCGATTCGTTCCACGTATTCTTGAACTTCTTGCTGATGGCTAGCCTTTAAACGTTCCACCTCTTTAAGTGAAACTGTGGCTTCTTCTTTTGTCGCATCCATAGCTGCAAAACCGTCTATGTCACAAGTGTCGACCGTAGACTCAGCCGCTGTCCCCGCTTGCGAGTCTGTTGCAGCAACAGTGTTGTCGAGTCTTGTATCATCAGATGGCGGTTTCCCATCAGCAGTCGTCTCAGTTATAGACTCAACAATCTCTGTAGGCTTAGTCTCCTCTGTCAATGTCGATGCTAGAATGTCCTTCTCTGGCTCAGTAGCAGGAAACTCTGACACAACATCTTCTTTCTCCGCAACTCTCGAGTCGGTAGACTTTCGCTCCACAGACGGTCGGCTCGCATTGTCGACGGAACTACGCGGAGAGCCTCCGTTCTGCGACGATTTGCCAGCCATGGCCTTGGCTAGCCTAGCTTGCAGTCTATCATTGGCGCGATTATTCGATGAGGAGCGCGAGGCATCTATCAATGCAATCACTTAGTCAATGTTTTCCCAATATTGGCATCCGCTTTCTCGCTGGTACATGATGCCTTACTGGGCGTAATCTTGGCCGCCGCAGGCACAGCGCTCGCTTGAGTCGGTGCCTTTATCTGCGGATGAGACTTGTGCTGCTGATGTGTCCCCGGCGCATTGTTGCTTGTTTCCTCCTCGGAGAGTATATTGTCGAGGCGAGACTCGACGCCCGCAACGGCCTGCGACAGAAACGAGCCCCATCTCGACGAAGACTTGTTTGGCGCGGCCATGGCGGGTGCGCGACTGTGGATCCGATACTTTTATCTTGGAATTCGCCCCTTTGTCCCTCTACAACCTTCTTTCTCGCTTGCTTCGTCTTCGCGGTGAGTGTGGGATCGTCGTGGTCGTCGTCGTTATGGCTGCGTAAGCCATTACCCCCTCAGCAATCCTAAGATGACTCCGGCGCTGGTCCGAGCTCCCAAGACTGAAATTAGGGTAATAGATTAGAGGAAAGAATCGACAGAAGATCGTGGGCGTCCGACTTGCAAAACAGAGAAGATCAAGTCGCCATCGCAAAACAGCTTGGGTGGGTTTGTGCGGAATGGCGCGCGCCTTGAGGTTGAGCTGGCCATGAATGGGTCCATATTGGTGTGGGTGGTCAAGACTGGTGCATTATATACCTAGTTGCATAGGTAGGACATGGGGAGCAAGGCGCCACAAAACCGACCGTTGACGGCCGTACCCGCTGCGACCTGGAGAGCCGTTGGTGATTTCACATTGTTGAAAAAAGACGGAGCTGAGCTGTCTTTGCGAAAAGTTTTACTTCTATTTCCTAGGTTCAGATAATCAGGTCCAGACATTCACTCCTTGTGCGCCCAATGTAATTTGAGATAGGATTGAGCCACCAGTGGCGCTTGATCCTTATGCATCATCACCGTGTAAGATGTAAAAAATCCCCTCCATAGCCGTTGTCCTCTTCAAAAAATCGTCCCCTTCCAAATGATACATTATCACACCAGAGAGCCAAAAAAACGCTTCCATGTCGGAGGGGGTATATATCGCCGCCATCTTCATCTCCACATATCATATATCGCTCGCCAGATGGCGTCAACAAGTCAGAATACAATTTACAAACATCAAACATTGAAAGCACATTTCAGAAAAAGACATCATCCGCGATTACCCGGTAATCTTCTTCCACCAGCTCGTCCGCACAGGCGGCTCGACATATGCCGAGTTGCGACGACTTGTTTGGCGCTCCTCGCTTGCATCCGAGGCAGGTACGCGGCGTTCCCGGTGGCGCTCCTCCTTTCTGCGCCGGCGTCTCTCATCGTCGGCTTCGTCGGCGGTAGCTTCACCAGCTTGCTTGGCACGACGGTGGGCGCGTCGCTCACGCCGAGCCTGGTCATTATTCCCGTCACCACCATCTGGCGGTGGAGGCGCATCAGAGTGCTCCTTCACCCAAGATGATGTACCTGAATGCGGCCAATTTGCGCCTTTCCTGTCCTTGTCACGACGACGGTCCTTGTGCGGGTAAACATGCTCATCTTCACTTGGGCGACGGCTGCTCTTTCGCCTGCCACCCTCTTCGGTGGCAGTGCGAGCTTCGCGACGAGCTTCCCGGCGGCGTCGACGCTCGGCATCGTCTTCAACGCCGTCTACCTGACGCGACCTGCGGCGTTCCCTCTTGACATCGCGATCCACGTCTGGATTCTCCATCTCGGCCGCCATGGCTGCAGCCTCCTTCTCCTTGCGCTGGCGTCGGCGTTCTGCTCGGCGGGCGTCGCGGTCCTCACGATCGCGGCGCTCTTCCTCCTCCTGCTTGCGAGCACGCCGCTCAGCACGGCGTGCCTCCTTATCGTCCAGCTTGGCTTCATCATCGCGCTTGCGCGTTTTAGCGCGGCGAGCATCCTCCTTAGAGCCGTCACTACCGGTGCTCCGCTTACTCCTGCGACGAGTATCACGATCAGTCTCCATGGCTTCGCCGTCGTCCGTCACTTCGGCTTTTCCCTTGGACATCAGACCACTGAAAAGACCAGAAAATCCGGACTTCTTGCCACGCTTAAGAGGCGTTTCCGAGGGACCACCAGCATCTACCATGACGATATCCTCGTCCGGGAGCTTTCTGCTTCGACGGCGGTCTACTCTTGCGGCGTCGGGATCCAGAGCACCACTCATGGCAATTCCTGGATCATCGCGGTTCGGGCGTCTCTTGCTAGAAGACTTGCCGATGCCGAGAATCTTGGCCGCCTTGTCGGGCGTCTCCTCGGGCGGCGGCGAAGCCATGCCATGCGCACCTACAGAATGGCGGCGTGAAGAGTGGCCGCCGTTGGCTTTTTTGTCGCGTGTAGACATCGATCGCGAAATGGGCGGCGTGCTAACGGCAGCGGAGCCGCGCGACCTGGAAGGCGTCTTGGAGGGCCTTTCAGACTTCTCAGGCTTCTCGTCGCCCGACCCTGAGCCCTTTGATGACGACTTCTCGCCAGATCGCTTGGATGACCGTTCGGTCTTGGACTTGGATGATCGGCGCTCATCCTTGCGCTCGTCTTTGCGAGAGCTCGACGTGCCCCATGCGCCCCATGACGACGAGCCATCGCGGCTTATCTTAGGGCGTTCTTTTCGAGAAGGTTTCTCAGGTGGCGGTGTCAGTGGTGCATCAGGAACGGGTGGCGGAGGAGGTGAGGCTTCGTCGTAAGCTTTGAATCTGCTCTTCTTGCTCTTCTTCTTGTCCGTGAAGGGACTGGTGTCAGCAACAACGAAGTCTGGATCCTCATCGTCGATGGGAAAGCTTCCGGGGATGCCGGCTTCCTTGCGACTCTTCCTTGATGAAGAAACGGGGGGCTCAACAACCTCGACAATCTTGGACTTCTTCTTCTTGTCTTTCTGATTCACGTCCTTGGGTGGAGATGTTGGAGGCGGCGGTACCGGGATAGCCCCTTCCTCGTTGGCAGCTTCAAAAGACTTGAGTTTATCGGCAATTTTGCCTCCGATAGGCTTACGCTTCAATGAAGTTGTGTCATTTGCCTTGGAAAGGGATGTAACATCGGCGTCCTCAGTGGCATCTTCCAGAACCGCAGATGTCAGCAGATGTAATTTTGCCTTGTACATGGATCGACGTTGGGGTAACCTGGGGTAGACAGGGGTGAGGTAGAGCGCTGAACCAACCTTTTTTCTTTTTTGATGAAGACACGCCCCAAAAATCAAACGCGTCAGTCGTCGACGCATCTTTCGGAGCAGAGAGGAGCTCCTCAATTTCGTCCGGCTTGAGTTCTTCAGGAAACAGTTGAGTTTCTGAGTCAGCCTCCTTGGCCTTCTTCTTTTTTTCCTTGTCTTTCTTCTTCTCTTCCTTCTCTTTCTCCTTCTCCTCCTTCTCCCTCTTCTCGGCCTCTTCCCTTTCTCTCTCTTTTTCTTTCTTCTTCTCCTCTCTTTCCCTCTTTCTATCCTCCTTTTCTTTTTTCTCTTTTTCTTCTCTCTCTCTCTCCTTCTCTCTTTCCTTTTCTCTCTCCTCCTCTTCCTTACGCTCCTTTTCTCTCTTCTTCTCCTCCTTCTCCCTTTTCTTCTCCTCTTTCTCTCGCTTTTCAGTCTCTTCTCTCTCCTTTCTCTTCTCTTCCTCCTCTTCCTTACGCTCCTTTTCTCTCTTCTTCTCCTCCTTCTCCCTTTTCTTCTCCTCTTTCTCTCGCTTTTCAGTCTCTTCTCTCTCTCTTTCTCGTTCTCTTTCCTCCTCTTCCTTGCGTTCCTTCTCTCTCTTCTTTTCTTCCTTCTCTTTTAATTTGGAACTCTTTTTCGAATTTTTGGCAGCTTCTTCCTCGGCTTTCCGCGCCTCTTGCTCTTCAGTTTCGCGGATAGCCTGCTCTTCAGCTTCTTTCGCAGCGAGCTCTTCTGCCTCTTTAGCCGCTATCTCTTCTGCCTCTTTAGCCGCTAGCTCTTCCGCGTCCTTAGCCGCCTGCGTCTCGGCGCGCTCCAAAGCTTTTTCTGTGAGACGGTTAAACTTTTCATTATCCTTCTTCAAAAGCTTTCCCCTCTTGGCTTTCTTCACAGTTAGAGCTGCTAGTTCTTCTTCCTCTTGCAGAATCAGCGCCTTCTCTTCCTCTTCCATTCGTAGCTTTTCCTCGGCTTCCTTGGCGACGGCTTCCTCGGCTTCGCGAGCGGCTTGCTCTTCGGCTTCCTTGGCGACATCTTGGGCTGCCTCGGTGGCTTCTTCGGCATCGCGGGCTTCTTGTTCGGCTTTTTCCTTGTCGGCCTTCTTTTTCTCCTTTTCAAGCTTCTTGAGTTCCTTTGCGCTTAGTTTCGGCTCCTTTTCCTTGTCATCCTTGGGTTTCGATTTAAGTTCGGCTTCTGCTTGTGTATCCTCAGGCTCAGTAAAGTCCAGTTCAGTGGGGTTATGCACAGGGGTACGAGGATCAGTCATGGGGTCCTTGGTTTTCCGTTCGCTCTGCTTGAACTTTGACGTCCAGGCTGAGGTATCACCAACAGTGGCCCCCATATCTGTAGTTACCTCCTGCACGTCTTTGAGTGGATATGTCTCACCAGTAGTATCAAATAGAGTGTTTGACTTATCCTTTTTATCCTTCTTGCCGGCACCAAATGAGCTGAAGAAGTCGTCGTCTTGGTTGGTGTCGTCCTTAGATTCGGAATTATTGTCTTGTTCGTCGAGATTGATCAGATCGCTCTTCTTCTTCTTGTCTTTTTTGCCGGCAGCGCTCCAACCTCCCCAAGAGTCTACGGGGTCGGGTTCCGGAACGGAGGCAGGCTCGGGTTCTGGTTCTAGGTCGACACCCTTCTTCTTTTTTTTCTTGTCTTTCTTAGTGGTGCCCATGGTAGCCCAGAAGTCGTCTTCTTGTTTTTTGTCCTCCTTCTCAACTATGACCTCCGACTCGGTTTTGGGTTCGGGGACTTCCTTCGCGTCGTTCTTTTTTCCAAAGCTGTCCCAGAACTCGTCACCATTGTCTGCTTTCTTGGTGTCTTCGGCAAAGGAGGACGGGGTTGGGTCAGCATCATCAAAAAGGGCGGCCTTTTTCTTGTTCTTCTTGTCCTTCTTGGTCGAAGTAAAGCCCCACACATCATCTTCCTTTTTCTCAGGTTCCGGGGCGTTTACGAGCGTTGGGTCTGGGTCTGCAGCGTCATCCGAGGCCGCACCCTTCTTCTTCTTTTTCTTGGACGCAGTTCCCCAGGTGTCCCAGGCCTCTTCTTCTTTCTTTTCCGGCTCTGGCTCTGGTATTGGCTCTGGTTCTGCCTCGCTTTCGATGGCACCCTTCTTCTTTTTCTTGTCTTTTTTAGAAGCCGGCATCATCCAGTCGGCGGCGGCGGCGGCGGGTGCAGGCTCTGGCTTCGTCTGCGGCTCCGGTTCATCGGTTTTGCCTTTCTTCTTAGTAGCAGTGGCCCAACCCCAGGGGTCGGCGTTAGGTTCTTTCGCTGCGGTCTCTCCGGTCTCTTCCACAAGACTCATGCCCCAAGCACTAGTTGCTTTTTTCTTTTTTTCTTTCTTTCCGACAGCAGTGAAACCAACCCCATCGGGTTCTTTCGTAGGAGACAGTTCAGCAGACTTGTCTTCATCCGCTTCATCCAAGGAACCGAAAGCAAAAGAAGTGCCTGCCTTCTTTTTAGAATTCTTGGTGTTACCCCATGGGTTTGAGTCGAGATCATCCTTTTTTGCTTCAGCGGGAGCCCCAGTAGTACCTGACCAGTCCCAGGAGTTGCCGCCAGTGGTCCACTTGGTACCCCAGGATCCGAAAGTATTTTTTGTGTCTGAAGCTTCAAAATCGACATCGAGTTTTCCGCCATCATCACCGAGTTTTATCTCCTGGAAGGCATCGCCACCAAAGTCAGCGTCTGGAATCTTTGGAACGGGGTCTGGCTCGGCAGCAGCAGCGGCAGCGGCACCCTTCTTCTTCTTTTTGGTCTTGGCAGTGGTGAAAGTATCCCAATCATCAACGGGATCGCCGCCGCCATCACCGCCGTTGTCATTGTTATCTTTGTGATCTTTGCTGTCGTCGCCGTCGCCGTCGCCGTCGCCGGCCGCGCCAGCGCCAGTATCGCCACCCGCGTCACCGCCGTTGGCGCCGTTATCGCCATTGGCATTAGTATCTTCCCTTTTGCCCTCATCGCCCCAGCCCGAGCCGTTTCCAGTGTTGTTATTGTTATTGTTACCACCAGCTTTCTTCTTCTTCTTAGCGGCTTGGACGACGTTCTCTAGCCACTCGAAGTCGATCGCTGAGGATGGTGTAAACGGGTCGGAGAACAAGTCGTCAGGAGAATCGCGTTTCCGCAGAGGAGCATCTTTTGTTGTTGGTAGGGAATCAACATCAGGTGCGGGGGTTTGCTTGCGGACAGCGTAGCTGAAAGAGTCATCAGCGTAAGCTGCAGGGGCTTCCGCTCCTCCTGCTTCGCCGAGATGTCGTAATCTGCGATACCAAGAAGGTGAAACATCGGGCAAAATCAGATGCTTTTCCTTGGATGCACCAGTGTATAATGTTTTCTAGTCATAATTTGGGTCAGTAAATGGGGTGAGCTCGAGGATAGCAGGGCTTGTGGCAAGCACTTCAATTAGCGCCGCGGTAAGCCGCCAGGCGGTTGATTGAGTTCACCGGCGCAGATTGTCCGCGACACGAGCTCCGTCAAGAGTTCGACTATACATACATGACTCGAATGCCTGCTTGTAATCCAAATACTGGAAATCAGGTGCAGTTTCCGGCGTAAGGACGTCTCATCCCAGCCAGTCGTCGTCGAGGTCTGGGTCAGAGGGTAAGCGAATGCGCTTCCTCTCAGGCTTTCGGAAGAAGCCAAGACAGCGGCCGCAGCCATTGTTCAAGTCAGAGCTCGTATTGTGGCGGGCCAGCGTCAAGATCATGGAAGCTACTGGGGCGAGATGGGAGTCGCGCGGGAGTCGTAGTCGATCGAGTTTGTGAATTGAAGGCGGAGGCAGGCGAGGGGAGATGAGCGCTGGGCGATGAAGCCGAGCAATGCGCAAAGAAATACAGATCGGCTTTCCCAGGAACTGACGTCACTTCGTCGTCGTCCTGTCGACGGCGTCGCTCGCGGTCGGAGTTGAGCGTCAGTGGAGAGTTAAGTACCTAGAGCCCGTTGTGGTCGTCCAGCGCTGCAGTCGGAGAAACAAGGCCACTGGGGTAAATGGAGACGGCGCTCGTGTAACAGAACCAAAAACACAAGAGCAGAGCAAAAATCTGCGGAGTCTATTCATGCGATCCGGAAGCCACGAGTCTGGTAGGTAATACAATTTTGCCCAAATAATGCCGCGGGTCGAGGTCGAGAGGCGGTTTTTGCTGTTTGTAAAGGCGAGAAGCTCTCTGCGTCTCGCAATCTGGCGGTGGAGTGAAAATGGAGAGTGGAGAGCGGCCGGGTGAATGTGGGACGCTTTGCTTTCTGATACCTTATTTTGGATTGACTTTCACTAGAATAAAATAATCAAATAGTTTCTTCGACGTGTGAATGGGTGAGGTCGGGTCAGACTGTCGCAGCTTGTCCAAGGGACTCCCAGCCACCGGGGGATAGCGCTGAAGCGGCGGCAGGAACCTAGTGAGTTAGTCGTGGCTTGGAAGAGGAGTCGGGACCAGGCGCTGTGGGTTTGATTGAATTGACTTGACTAACACTGTGGTTTCTGGTTGTTTGTATGCCGTCGCCCTATTGTGACGGTCGTGGTTGTCTAAGTATGGTCGCGTAGGTTGTGATGTCTGTCCAAAGGATGCCCGCAGACTACTTAGTCGTCTCGCAGCGTCTTTCTCTCGGGCAAGCACGCGATGAAAGATCCAAGATATCGTCAAGTCTCGTGTCCACGAAACGATAACTAAAACAGTAGGCCTGGTCGCGGGGGCACTATCGAAAGTCGTAGCCTCCTGTCGCGGGACAGGCAGAGATTCAGTCGACGCGGGGAAAGGGAGGAGCAGACAACCCCTTTCAGTGCGTCAAGAGACAATGAAAAGGGCAAAGTCGAGAAATGATGCCCTGTCGACCACCCATTCACGTTCAAGAATGGCCACTGACGTTGAATTCCAGATGTGAAAGCGTTGCACCAGTCCTCCCGAGGCTGCGTGACACACGGGTGACGCTGCTGTCGGGGCCAAGGGCTCCGAGGCTTAGATACCTTGTTTTTTTTTTTTTTTGCACAATCACGCGCACGCACATTCAACACCAAGCCGTGTTTGCTATGGCGAGCCGTCACCTTGCCGAAGTATGGATCTACCAGTAGGATTTTGAAACAGCTGACTTGCAGCAGCAGCAACCTCGCGCGTCATCTGCGCAAGGGACCGTTGTCGTGTAGATTGTTTATTCGTAGGGGTTCGGACTGTATACCCAGGTATTCAAGCAAGAAAGTACATGGGCAACAAGTATAGATAGAGCACATAGGACGGACTTGTTTACATGTACCTCATCAACTGAGCTGACCGCCTCTTTCTCTGTTTCGGTCAAGCACTGCATTATGTCAATCAAATATTAAATACATAATCAAAATTTCAATGTAAAACGTCTGTCCCGTCCACCAGTCACCTTTGGGCTGCAGCAAAGGAAAAGGAGATGGATGGCTGGGGGTGGAGCCAGTTGGGCAACCACTCTGACTGACCAGTACCGTCATCAGACCCAATCAATGAGAAGGGGCATCAACTGATATGAGTGGATGCCGACAAAGGCGAATGCAGGCGAGATGCTGGTTTCTTTTCGTGGCTAGCCAATCTGCCGTAGTAGCTGAGTGCTGGGACGAATGTGGCCACCCATCGGAACAGACCGGTATATATGGTTGGCTGGCGTTGTGCTCCTACATGAGGAGGCTGCCAGGAACAAAATGTGCAGAGACGCAATCAAGACAGACATTCCTTCGAAAGGTGATGGCTGTATCGCGCTCCCTAGGGGCTGCATATTGTGTGCCAGCAAACCTCTTGAAACCTCTAGCCCCAGTGGTTCTGCAAGGCCCAGCCCAATCTCCACGGCAAGGCAATAGTCGTGTGCAGTAATAATCATAGACCTGCTAACTAGCATTTGACGTCCGCTTGCTGTGCATGCTATGCAACGGAATTGCTGAGGAAGGGAGGCCAGCACGCGATTCTGATTTCATATTTTCAGCTTCTGCAAGCCCGATTCGGAAGCTCTCTCAAGGCTCAAGGATCCGGCCATTTCAACACCTGAGACATGGCACAGAAGATGGCGAAAATTTCTTTTGCAAACCTCCAATGCGCTTTTTTTTCGCGCGCTCCGTTGTGTATCAGGCAGGCTCGAGCACCCCCATCAGGACGCTGATAATCCTTCAGGAAATAGTAAGGATTTATTCGTTAGCGCAAGCGAGAAGAATATTTCCATCATTATCAGTGACGTAGAATCGCAAAGTATTGACTAGGGCAGCTCGATGTCAGGGATATTGACAAGGGAGCAACGAATCATCGCTGCAGTGGCTGACTATTCGACATTGTCACTATCACAATGTACAAGGCTTGCGCGTCAGCAAATGCTCTGCCAAAGGAACCAGGGCTGTGCATCAGCTTCAGCGGGGGCTTCCCGCAAGGACCCCACAAGGACCCGGCATGCTGCGCCCAATGTTCAACTAGTAGTATGTGTTGGGTATTTTTTTGGTGGCCGACAAATCTTGCGAAGCAGGCCGACAATTAGCAGCGCCCACGGAGTATGGTATTTGAGCTTGTGCCCTGAGCCCGGGGTGAGAATTGGCGCATGCACTCGAACGGAGTGTCATGCGTCGATGCCCAGCTCGTGAGTCGTCAGCTCGACACATCGTGGGCCGCCGTATGGCGGTATGCTAGCGATACTCATGTGCAAGTGCAACCAATGTGTGAGCACATAGCGGAGATGAGTGAAATTGAAATGATTCAGACTATCTGTCAGATGAGGCTCTACGGGACGAGGCAGAGAGTCAGTTCTCTGCAGAGATAAACCAAGGATTCTTTCACCTCGGGTGCATGAGATGCTCACTTATATCTTCAGTCCCAGCATGTGTAGTAGATCAGCCAGATTGTAACAGGTTTCAAAGCAATAACAGAGTTGATAATCAGTATAACCATCGCTTTACAAGGCATGCCAGGCAAGTCGCGTCACCATGATAGTCGTAGTGGGGATTTACCCCTCCAGATCCTGCTGCTCATCTGCAAGTCGCAGAACCCAGTTGAGTTCAGGCCAGCTGCAGCACGCAATATGCTATTAATTAGCAATAAGCGCCTAGGAATTCAACCCACCAACCAACCAATTAATTGGTCCCCTGTAGCTCAGTTGGCTAGAGCGTCAGACTGTTAATCTGAAGGTCGCAAGTTCAAACCTTGCCGGGGGAGGACTATAGATCCTCTACTTTTGCCTTTGACGCCGTGGATGAATTTTTTTTTTTGTTTGTAAACTTTTCTCTGCTATTCAATGCAGCTATATAGAACAGGGGGGCGGGGTACACGTAGTAGCACTGAGTTTTCTTGATGCGCAAGGCTTTGATTTCGAATGTGTTCGGCATTGTGGGTTATTCATGTTTCGCTTACGTTTATTAGTTTACCCTGCACTTGGTAATGAATGCAGCTTTCTGTCTTCCTGCAGGGGGTCACTTTGTTTTGTAATTAGATTCTTCTGATGTTTGTTGCCGTTATCTCCGGTGTGCTTATTGACTTGCACAGGTTCTTTAGTTTCGCGTCCATCCACGTTGCAGCTGTGTCTAGACGAGTGCAACCAGCCACGTAAAGCTGTCTCGTGTACAGCACTTGTCATGAAACAAGCCGCACATTGACCCCCCGAGCAGATAGATAGGTAGACAAAAGGAAAAAAGGAAGGAGCAAGAGAGGAAAAGAAGAAAAGAGGCGCTGTTTTGCTATGGTCAAGAACAAGAGCGATGTAGCCGATAAACGGCATAGTATCATAGCATTTTTAATACTATCTATTAATTACCATATCACATAATACTTAACTTGATTTACTTAGTTAGTTACTCACATTTTCTATGCCTATACTAACCCTACGTTTGACCTACTACTAATGGCAAAAAAATAAAATAAGAGAATGTCCTCCCCCGGCAAGGTTTGAACTTGCGACCTTCAGATTAACAGTCTGACGCTCTAGCCAACTGAGCTACAGGGGACCAGTTGTTGAGTGCCATGGCTTTATTGATACTTATCAGCCAAGGGAGTAAATATTCCGTCAAAATAGGCAGCTTATGTATTCCGGACAACTGTTATACATATAGTGGCTCGTGAAGTGACGTTCCGAGAAGACCAATCTCGCTTCTACTGGTATGCGCGATAACTGAAGAAAGAAAGGTATTTCATTTTTTCCAGTCAATTACTCCAACTTCATCACAGTTTGCGAATAGCGAGGCTAACGGAGGGGCTGCAGTTACGCCTCAACGCTTGACTCTTATATTTGTAAATGTGCTTCATAATTAGAGCCTGTTGAGCAACAGGATAATTGAGAAGCTGCATTGTGAGCTGCATAAAGGCGCTTTATTCCGGGTTAGCGGAGCGCAGATTCATCCTGAACCAGGTCTTCATCCTGTATACCAGGTCCCTGTAACGCATTCTAGGATTATTCGTCATCAGTGTCGGAGTCTTTCACTGACTACATATCTCTTGGTCTTCAACAAACACGAACAAATTCGTTCCAAATGGCTGTCTGCAATTCTTCCGTAAGTGGACATCGTAGTCTCCATCCCCATTCTTTGCCCACGCCCACGCCCACGCCGGCCTCACCGCTTCCATTACTGCCCCATCACAGGCGTCCAAGTGAATTGCCGGGCAAATGAAACAAAGGCACGACCAATATTTGACTGCTGTTCCACTTTAGTTTGGATTCGGGCTGCAGAATTGGTATTGCTTGCAGATGACGTTGTTTCCCAACGACGATGGAACCGAGAGACAAGTGCTCTCCTTCTTGACGGAAGCGGGGAGGATTGTCAGGCATGCAAGAATTGGCCCACCCTGACAGCGGTCAGGCCTGACTTGTGACTACTTTCTTCTGTTGCTTGCTGTCTTGTTTGACTCCCAAGGTACATTGGGCAGTCGGTGCAAAGGATTATGATTCTCGGAAGATAATCTGCCTTGTGGCATCTTTGAAACCTTTGAATCTTATACCAACGCAGGTGACGCGTAGCAATCGTGGCTAAGCTAAAAACCCACGCGGCTCCCAAAAGGAGATCTGTGCAAGGCTGTACACCCTGTACAAATGCATACACCCTTTTCTGCAATTTCCCGGACCATACTAACTACAACATCTTTTATTGGATATGTATCTCAGTTGGCAAGGCAGACTTGAATGTATGCATATGCTCGCCCTACACGCCCTCCCCGTCTTTCATGGAGAGAAATCAAAATATTCAAATTGAGGCCACTGCGAAATGACAAGTCCCTTCATGTTGGAGGTTACTTACTTCGACGTAGCTCTTTGCATCTTGTGTCCTGTTTGAGTAACTCTGGGTCCGCGAGCAAGCTGAAGATGCAGAACAATTAATTTGTCGTGAGAGAGACGGCAATTATAAACATGCACACCGTTCTGTTCGGATTGAGGCACCACAAAATTAGCAAGGAGAATGTTGGTCTGTTCAACAAAGCAGTGAGCTTAGTTTCAGAATCTGCGTGATATCTATACTTGAATCCGTCTGTGTGAGTGAAGTCCCCGTGTCATGTCGGAAACGAAGCAACAAGCCAAGAGCAAATTCCAGTCCACCGACATTTATCAGAGCAGACACGATTACAAGTTTCTGTCGGAAATCCCAGTAGTAAAGATGGAATAGATGAACAATCTCGCGGTGCAAATGATTTTACACCGCGACCAACAGCGCTATAACACGCTCTGTATGACCAGAAGATATTATCAAAAAGCCTAAAATCATGGCGATTCTCGTAAATAACGCCTCCTGAAATGCAAAAGAAAAAAAAAAACGGACGGATTACTCCGTTAACAAAATGGTATTTCAACGCCCGCCCATGTCACTGCTATAACCTACTTCGCCAAAATTTTGCGCCATGCCACCTTCGCCATAACCTGTATTTGGGCCGCTTATGTAGCCTCCATCGTCGGCGTCGTCGTAGTCGCTGGCATCAAAAGACGAACGTCCACTAAGGTCGTCTTCCATACCACTCATCTCCGGCGCCGACCAATTCATCGCTGCTAGTGCGGGATATTGCGCTAGCAGAGCTGCGGGCAATGCATAGTGTCCATTGCCATCGACGGGATAGCCTGTGTTGGCGTCTATTGCCATACCGGGACCAGCCATGCTAGTCATGTCTTGTTGCATGCGCTGTTCTTGCCATTGCCGTTGGCGCTCGATCATTTCTTCGTCTAACAGCGGCTTGATGCAGATGCGCCCCGCTTCGGACCTGAAATGACGACCCAGGGCGTCGGCACGCGCAAACCGCCGTCCACAACCCCATTGACCTCCAGCCTTGAGCTCACCCTTGCAGACAAACTTCTTTTCACCAGAATGTAGACTCTCGTGTCTCTTGCGGTCGTGTTGTCTTGCAAACGCTTTGCCGCAAACTGTGCAGACAAAGGGGCGCTCGTCTGTGTGTGTTCGCAGATGGGAGCGTAGGTTGTAAGCTCGAGTGAAACGTTTCGGGCACAGGGTGCATTGAAATGTGGCAGGGTGCTTCTGCACTCGCTTCGGTCCACCACCTTCTGAGCCGCCTTGGTATTCGGGATCAGCCAGGCGCAAGGCAATGACATTGTTTGGCACTGCGGATGTGGATTGCCGTCTGCGGGTAGCAGAGGACTGTCGGTCTGCAGGCGAGAGAGATCGTGAGACTTCTTGGCGGGAAGCTAAATTGGAGCCAAGTGTGGCGTTGACACTGCTCGGTCTAGGCTTTGCAGCAGCTCCGGGCCGAAAGGGGTCTGTTACTGACCGAGGGCGCGATTTGGGACGCCCTGCACATTTGGTTAGCTAGGTCGATTGGTAGAAGTTTTCAAGCAAGTATACCTCTATCTGGCGGTAGTAGCGAGTCTTGATCCAGCTGAGATTTGGTGGCATCAAAGCCACCGAGCTTAGCATTGCTGGTAGGCGCAAAGTCTATGTTGATAGCAGGGGCCATTTGTGGCATGTCCTGGCTGTTTCCAACAAAAGTGCCGCAAGGATCTTGTATGATAGGGTAGGCAGGTATGTTGTAGCCAGTATTTGGCGATGGTTGAAACTGCATGTCTGGTAGCGTCTGAGAGCCAATGCGAGGACTGATGGCAGGGCTATGAGAGGGACTGCGACCATCGCCAAGGTTGAAGGAACCAATACCAAGGACCTCTTGATACATGCTGCCGTCAGAAGGTCGTTGCAAAGGCGAGTGGCTGGCGCCATTATCGAAGCTATCATGCACATTCATATTAGGCGAATGTGTGACAGAAGATACATCAGAGTACTCGGAGGGTGCACGACGGTGGCCAGTGAATTGAGCACCACTCCATTCGTTAATCTGACCAGGTAGAAGGGCTGCCTCTGGACCAAGAGAAACGTTTCTGGAGTGGACATGGGGCGAGGAGAACTGATGATGCTGAGTAAAGGATGGTGAATGCTGCGCCGAGCTGGGCGACTGCTGAGACTGCGGAGAAGCCATGTTATTGAGATCGGCCGGACTGAGACTAGAGGGCTCGAAGAGCGGCTGGTTAAAATGTTCACTCTGGTTTCTGGAGGCTGGGAAGAGGGAAAAGTCGGCGTCGAGGCTGGGTGCCAGAAAGTTCTGCTGGGATTGGGACGTAAAGGCCAGGTTGTTTGCGCCAGATGCTGCTTGCTGTGTGAAGCCGACGGAGGGGTCAAAGGCGGCTGGGTTGACGGCGTCGGCTTGGAAGGACTGCGACTGCTGCTGGGCGGTCTGGGACGTCATGAAGCTATCGGCAAAGGATGAATCGAAGCTCGAATCGGCGGCAAATTGCTGTTGTGTTTGCTGATCGAGAGACAGGTCAATGTTGGAGTCGGTGGGTTGCGCAAATTGGTTCGGCGACGGCGAGTGCGCTTGATTTATAACAGACTGCTCCTGCTGGCCAGCAGCAGCCGACGACTGGCCGTTGTCCTGCAACTGGTGGTCCATGTCGAGAAGATGAGAGAAAGCGGAGCGCCGTTGGAGACGCTTGGGGATGCTCCGGAAGCAAAGAATGTACCTGCGTATCGGGAGATGGGGCTTGACGAGGAGCAGCAGCGGCAGTCAGCGCGGGGGTGTGGGTAGAGGGAGACTTTGGGGGGGCGTGAGTCTGGAGGCGTTGACTTGTCCGGTGAGGCAGATTTTCGAGGCAGCCTTTGTACGGCGACCGCGCGCCGCGGGGGTTGGGTGTCAAGTGTTTGGTAATGTATGTTGGAGGAGGCTGTGCAGGCAAGTGTGGTCGCGACAAGCGGGCTAGGTCCTGGTGAGTCTGCGTTGATGGTTGGCTCACACAGCCCTGGGCCGCGTGGAAAAGGGAGGGGTGGTCAGAGGCTTCGAGCCAGGACAAGCGTGCGCAAGACGATGAGGAATGTCTGGGAGTGCGTGGCGTATGTCGCTTTGGGAGGATGATGAGAGGAAAGCGAGACGGGACGAAGTGGGAAAAAAATATCAGTGGCTGTCGAAACTTCGACCACGGCTGGATGGTAGCGCAACCGCCTAGCTGGTGGTGAAGGGGAAGTGCCAAGTACCTAAGAAGGTAACCAGCTTCAAGCAGAGCCGCCGTGAGCGCAGTAACAGGCGGGCTCAAAGAATATCGAGGCCCGACCTGTCCGCAAGCCCTACCAGTTCAAAGCGCCCGAAAAATCTGAAAATAGGGTCAAAAAGGGTCTGTTCTTTCGAGCGGCTCTGACGAGGGGTAGTGTCACAGCTGGCGACGGTCGTACATGTACGGAGTAGAATTACCTACAGAGGTAGTTACTTCGGAGAGTTGCCGGATCTGACCCAACCCTCGCTAGAATTGCCTGTCATGCCTGCCTACCAACTAGGTAGTACCTACCTATTGGTACGTAGGTAGATTATGAGGTGGTTAAAGTCGTGACTGAATCACGGCCATGTGGGTTTTGAGCTGATAAGGCGACCCGCGAGGCTAGAGAAGAAGTGGAAGCTCGGCAGTAAAGCCGGGATACTCGAGAAAAATAAAGCAAGATTCAGGACATTGTAACTACAATAGCCTGGTGCTTGCTTTGAGGATCATGATTCAACTGTTGATAATTCAACGAGGAAAGTGATAATTATTTACTTGGTGCCTATTTAGGTACCTACCAGTAGGCGGTGGGGCAGTTCCAGTGGTCGGGCAACTGGACATCATGCCAGAGAGTCTGCCAACGCGGGCTGGTACCTAGGTAGGTACCTTACCTTAGCAAACTTAGGTACCTCAGCGCTGCGTGCGCCAGAGACCGGGCTATTTGGGCGCCTGCACCTCCTGCAAGGCCCTTAAGATGGCTGTAAGCTAGCCTCGTCCGTGCCAGTGCGCTAGCGGACGACCAAGTCTCAGCCCTTTTTAAACGGGCAGAGATGTGTGCGACGACAGATGAAACGGCTGGTTTTGGTTATAATGTTATGAGTTTGTTTTCTTCCAAAGGTGAAGCTCCCACACGAGGGATAGACTCTGTCCGATTGTCTTACTCGTTTAGATAACAGTCTTACTCGTCTAGATAACAGAGCAACCAGAGGTACCCGAGTGGAGCTTGTTAGACCTAACTGTCATCATCAGTACTCGGAGTTATCAGTAGGGTTAGGGTTTACTCAACGCATGTAACAGACATACGGATACTTGGACGATATAATGCAATATTTAGATCATCTCACTACACCTATACATACTCCATATAGCCGAGCGCTAGCTACAACGGGGCATTTTAATGTAACCAGCCCATGAAACCAATTAATACAAGGCGCAACACGGAGACGCCAGACAAGCACGGAGAAGGTACCTACCTAGGCACTACGGCTTCCCGACGGCCCCTGGCAGCCGGGGAGCCTGGCAGTCACTGATGCTCCAGCGCTAGGTACAGCAAGCAGTGAATCCAAGCTATTGCCTCGTTGGGCAGCTGGCTCGCGGGTTTGCGCTCTGCGCAAGAGTTTTGACGAAAACTTTGTTTGTTCGTCTCGAATCCGTTGATGCAACTCCATCAATTCCAATTTCCACCTTTTCCACCAAACACGCCCTAATTATTCGAGAGAGATGGGTGTGTGGCCGTCGACCGACTGCGCCACCTTGATCTCGGGCTCTGCACACCCCTTTTCTTGGGACGAACAAGAGGTCGTCTGGCGGTTGTGGCGTGTACCACAGGGGCCGAATCCCATATTTACCACCATAATTAGAACGTGGGCTCGTAAAGCTGCTCCTCGCCCACGTCGGGTTGGGTTGACGACCTGGTTAACCCCGCTATCAATAGAAGCTGGCAGCCCTACGGCGGCGTGTCGCAACTAGGACACCTCATCAGACGCCAGCATTTTATCATGGTGGGCACGTCGGTAAGGCAGTTTTCACATGGCACATGGCCCCCAACGGCGCGTGTTACAAGTCCTCTGGGCGATTCATCAAATCTCTTTTGATGCCCACATTCACGCCGGCTTCTCACCCCCCCTTTCGAATTCAACTTAGTCGACATTGCCATTCACTGCACTATCTATCAACTGTGCTGCAAGACATCAAAGAAACGGGAAATCATGATGAACTCACCCGAGGGCTCCACGCAATGACGCGGCCCTCCTCCACGGATGCCCACTCTGGCAAGCCGCCAAACGCCCGGCTCGCTGGCCACGTCTCACGGCTCACGGCTCACGCGTCGCGAGTAATAAGTGGCAAACACAGACTGAAAATTGTCGTGGAGAACCGACCAACTATTGTGTGTTTTCACTAGCTATTTCAAACGACAAAAAGGTCTAAGCGTATTTTTTCTTTCTGGGTATTCTGCCAATATGCTTTCGTCTGAAAATGCCCTGCCCACTTGCCCCTATGCCAACATGCCTCACTACCAGCAACCCCCTCATAGATGCCTGATTAACGGGCGCCAGCTACTTCTTGGCCGCGATTCTACTAGGTATACTCGTAGTGATGAATCTGATGATGCTTACCAGCTCCACCTCTCCTGTCCTCACCGGTAGGTTCGAGGTCTAGAATCCTCGTGTGCATGGGGGTGGCCTGTACAAGCTGTGCTTAATATAGAGCGAGTGAAAGGCTCACAGGTCAGGAACGTTTTGGCGACAGGAAAAGCACAGTCAAGTACGCGGTTGCTTCTAGATTAAGACGGCGCTGCATGGTATTTCGCTATTCACCTTGAACATGCATCTAGAACATGTCCTGGGACATATCTGTGGTTTACCTGCTGGCAACACTACCCGGTCGGCCTCCCCGATGCGCATATGCCTCTCAAACGCCCTTTACGTGCGGATATGAGATTTGCATTGCATCTCAAATGTAGGCCGATATCCAGATCCATGCTCAAGCCCGAAAATTAAACGTCACATCTCGAAACCGGGGAACACACCTCCCACGGCCGAAGCTCGGCCGGAGGGTCGAGCTACGGGGTCTGTGGAGCCACTACGGATACCTTTGGCAAGGCTTTTCGCAAGGCGTTTCTTGAGCCCTGCCCTTGCCGCGACCGATTCTACTGATACCAGGAGGCCGCCGCTTTTGAAAGCTAGGACCACCAATTCATGCACTGTTGACCAAAAGATTTATTGTGCACGGAGTACTGTTCCTTTGCACAATGGAGGTTCATCTTTATCAGGCTTTGAATCACTTCTCGCTTCTTATGCTATCCCTCTTTGGGCCTGGCCGGGTGTTCATTAAGGCCGCGTACCTGTTGGTCATGGTTCATGGCCCGGACACAAGCGACGGAACTGTTCGCAAGTACTTCCCGAAGAGCTAATCTGACAATTGTGTCTCGATTGGGAATGCCAATATTGAAAAGGGAACTTTTGTACTGATGACGCGTATTGTATAGACTTGCACCAGGGGGCATGGAGCGGCAGCCGACGAACTAGTTGATGTACAAGTCTTGGCCTTCTGCTCATCACATCAGGTCTTGGGCAGCAACGCTTGGGTAAATCAGTAAAGTTGGGTATTTCTTCGGCCGAATGAGTCTGAACCTAATGCCTCATTCCAGAAAAAACAAAAGAACAATGTAGCTGTGCCGTCTAAAATTCTATCCATGGACTTGGGTAAAACAAGTGAGATGATACCTACAAGGCAAACAGAGTGGGCGGGGTCGTTGAACCAGGCAAAAATACAAACGAGGACTGGCTCAGACAACCTCGTCACGTTCGAACCCAGCCGGCTTCAAGCTGGGATTCGGCGCTTCCTTGTGGTCTTTGAACTTGCTAACAAAGGGGTTGGGGTCTTCCTTTTGATTCAGGTTTCCAAAAGTGTGGTTGACTCCTCTGTGGCCGGCTTCGTCGGCGCGAATGTACAAAAGAAGATCCTTCATGGTTTGATGACCTTCTGGCATTCTCCAGTACTGCGAGGCGTTAGCTCCTACTCCTGACTCTGATTGAATTTGTCCACTGACCTGAATGGCGATATCAGGAATGCGAAACTTGGGATCTGCCCAACGTGGCAGGTGGCCGTCTTCAATCTCTTTAATCGATCTCGTGTATGTGTGCACGGCCTCCTCTTCGAGATAGCCAACGAAGCGATGCACAATCTTGGGGTTCGCAAGATACATGAGGAACATGCCATTGAAAAAGACACCCTGTGCACCGATAATCATGAGCTTCATGAACCAGCCAGGCTCGCACATCTTCATAAATGTCAGGAGATGCATTCTCTCGTTGTAGCTTTCTTCGAGAAGGGTCTCGATCCAGCCATTATCGCGCTTCATGCGACGCAAACTGCCAAGATGCCGAAGCATGCCGCCGACCATGCCGGGCACACCAGCAATGCTCTCAAGAAAGACGAATCGAATAAGCTATCGGCGAGGTGTTAGCCTTGTTCGCAGTATCGCAGCATCGTGAGACTGATGATGCTCATTATGTTTGCTCAAGCTTACCCATTGGGCTTCCGTCAAGGGTTTCTCCGCCTCGACGGCCGTCGTGGGATGGCTCTTATCGACCTGCTGTTGGCGGTCCATGCCTGTCGCCTTGTCCATCCAGTAGCGTGCGAAGCGAACTGTCTTCCACGCTAACCAGTCACCGAAGGTGCGCGGCTTGCGGTGCGCGGGCACGACGGCCGTCATCTCCTCGTAGGAGTAGCCGGGGTGCGGCCAGGCGGCCGGCGTCGTCTGTATCAGATGCGTGTCCTTGGCGGGGAAAAAGTCTCTGAGCCGCGACACTGGTGTCGTCGAGAAGGAGCGGCAGCCGTGGCAGCAGTAGGGCGTCGCGGCCAGGCGCAGGCGCAGGCCAGCCAGCTGCGGGCTTGAGCTGGCATTGGCAGACGTGATGGCCGCTTTGGCCAGCTGGGCAGTCTGCCTGGAGGCTGTGGGCGCTCTTGTACACGTGGTGGTGGATAGCATCGAATGTATGACGACTGGTATCAGTGTCTGGGTGTTGTTGGTAATGACCCTGCTTCTTCTTTTGGGAGCTTGGGAGCGAGTGATGTCTTTGGCTACGGTTTTGGGAGTCAGAAAATGGGTAGCGAGATTGTGAATCAAGTTTGGGTGGTGGCCGTGGTAGTGTCGATTACTGTGTTGGGAATAGTAACTCTAATGAGAAGCGGCTGAACGCAGTCTAAGTGAAATAAGGGACATGGGCATTTATATGCTTCTAGAAAACCCTCGTCGGAAAAAAGCACAACAGCCGTAACGGATGCGGGAATGAATACGAGGCACGAAAAAATGAGATAAAGTTGGCCTGAGGAAATAATCGGGACAGAAAAAACAGGAGCACAATACATCACGAGAATTAAAGAAATTTTAGGCAGCGCTGACTCTGCTGAGACGGCTGAACAGCCGGCACCCTGTGGGAAGTCAGTGCCTGACCAAGATGCCAGCACTCATTGGCCGGCCGCGATTCCAGCCCGGCTTGCCCGGGTTGATCCGGCGCTAAGCAGTGGCCTCTTTCAGACTCTGACTCGGCTGTCCCGTTTCATTTTCGATGGTTACGGATTAGTTGTTCGTTGGTTGGCGACCTGAGGCTCCAAAGAGTGATTTTGCGCTGATAATTTTCGTCCATGACCATGCTTTCAATTTCTCGTCTCCCTTGGCAGAGCGACGACGGCGGCCGTTGCCCTGCCATGGCCGTCGGAGCTACCGCCTACCGCCCGCCCGCAGACCGGCAGACGGGCGACAGGCAGATAAATAGCAGGTGCCACCCATCTTTGAGCGGCCTCGGTGGCTGTCCGGTACTCGGTGCTTGAAAGCTGTGACAGCCCCGTGAAAAAGACCCGCTTCGCACCAAACCCACGAGGTAATTACTAGGTTATCCAGCTTTCCAGAACCTTTCGATTGCCCCTCGGACAGCTCAGATGACAGGGATGTATTTTTGGGGGCTCAAGAGCTACACATGCCACACACCCACTCTTCGAGTTGGTGTTAGATACACTGGCGGCCACTATACACCCGCAGCTATAAAGTAAAAAATATTTTCTATTACTTATATTAAAATAATAAAAAGTATTATTAATATATTAAAATATAGAAGATAATATTTAGTTACTAAATAATATTAATTTTAAAAAAGTACTATTATATAATTTTTTAAAATTAATAATTAATAATTAAAATTATAGACTTTTTTAAGATATATATTAAAATATTTTAATAATAAATGTATATATATATATTAAAGAAAGCCTTTCTAAATAATAAAAATATAAGTTATTTAAAAATATAAAAGTAATTTTTATAATTATTTTTATTAAATTATAATTTTAAAATATTAAATTTTTTATATTTAATTTTAAGTTTTTAAAAACTAAATAAGTAATTTAATATATTATATAATATAAAATTTTAATATATTTAAATTTAAGTTTTAATATCTTTAGATTTTTTTTATTAGAGTAATTATTTTATATAATATAATATAGTAGCTATAACTATATAGTGGCTACTAGTATATCTAATACCTAACTTAAAGAGTGGGTGTGTGGCACGTGTAGTTATTTAGAGGCTTTAAGTACTGGTACCTACCAGGAGAGCTATTTCGTAGAGGCCGAAATTACTCCGTTTCCCATGAGAGCACCGAATGCCCACTTCTGTCAACAATAGTAATCGAACATTCACCCTTAAGATGACGTAGGGCGCAAGTGACTCATCTCACCTGCAATACTGTGTACTTTACAGTATGGCGGAAATGGCTCATGGTATAATCCCAAAGAAAACGCCGTCTATGTAGCTAGCCAGCCAGTATCGTCGTTCTAGTTGTGAATCACAAGAATCAAACGCTGCTATAAGCCCAACTATAACATGATGCTTTTTACAGCTGATGTTAGTTGATCAATGCGCCGGGACCGAGTGCCCAGACCTCGAGCTGCGTCGCATCACTTCGACCACTTCTCCCGTACTGAGTCCAATGCTCAGGTCGATATTTTCATAATACTCCCATCGATGAGATATGTGCACAACCGTACTATCTGCAAATGACTCGTCCATCAGCTCCTGTATCTGCTGGTCCATTTCCGCGTCCAGAGAGCTGGTCGCCTCATCTACAAGCACAATCTTGGTGTCCATAACTTCGCGTTGCAGAAGAGCGCGGGCGATAAACAGCAACTGTTTTTGACCATATGAAAGCCGCGCATCTGCAATGTCCGCGTCCAGCCCGCCATGTCTTTCAATGTGTGTCCAGAGGCCGACTCCCTCGAGCGCAGCGATAATGTGGTCATCTGCAGGCATAATAAGCGAGTCAAACGGAAACATGTTGAAGCGCACCGTGCCCGTGAGTTCCACACCCTCTTGCGTCAGTGTTGTAATTCGAGAACGCAAGATGTGGCGGGGAACTGTCTTGATCTCTCGATTGTCCACGCTGATGCTGCCGGAAAACTCAATCAGGTGAAGGAGAGTCAGCATCATTGATGACTTGCCACTTCCTGTGCGCCCAATCAAGCTGACTTTCTGGCCATGCTGGATGCTCACTGTTGCGTTGTTGAGTGCTCGTCGTACCTCCCCGCTAGGAGCTCTATAGCTGGGAGTCACGCAGTTGAAGTCAATCTTGCCAGTCGTCGGCCAATCCTCCTCCACGTCTGGCATGACAGCAGCAATATGTCATAGTGTCCAGCACAAAGGTAAGTCATTGTTGAACACAAAATAAGTAATAGTATGGCTTTTGCGAGGAGTCGAGACGTTGGAAAAAGTCGCTATGAAAGTAGTATTGCCATCCGAAGCTGCGTATATGTGCCATGCCAGAGCTAGATTCTGTCATATGTGTGATAAGCGGTACCGAGGTCTTGAGCCCTAGTAGAAGCAGTTTACGCGATGTCTTAAGACAATAGTACTGGACTGCGTAGAGAGTGACGATGAAGAAAACAATGATGGGTGCGGCATACTTGGTCCCAGATGAAATGACGCCGATATCTACCAGAACGTTGAAGAACATGGAGAAAGATGCCATGAAAAGCGTCGGCAGCATCTATAAGATCAAGGCGATATCTTGACTGAAGCGATTGAGTAGCGAGCCTGCGTCGTTGTGACTGATAAATGACAATTTCGACTCAAAAACCGTCTGCAATAGGTCCCAGTGGAGCGCCACCGACGTGTGTAGCACAATATGCTTAAAGAACTGCGCGCCGACGATCGAAATGGCAAAAAATATCCGAGACGCTGAAAGCAACAAGCCCGGCAAAGTACTTGTTATTACTTGCATCGATACTGAGCCAAACACGCATAAAATCTGCGGCATTCTTTCCAGGGCTGATGCAACTGCGACGCCCACGAACCACAACACGAGCATGAACATGCTGGTCGAGTTGAAGAAGGAGCGATAAAGGCGAAAGTCGCTCTCCTTTCTCTTGGTGTCGTTATCAACATCTAGAGTTTTTGAAGTGTCAACGTTTGGTGGTCCCTCGACGTCAGTCGGCGACTCGTCTTCGACATCGGCTGTTAGCTCAGGGGTTTGGTCTCGCAAGTACCAAAGCTTTGCAGCATTGCTTGAGTTTGCACGAGAAAGTGCCACTTGCACGATGTTGCCGCGAGGCAAAATCTCAAAGATAATATCGGCCGCGTCGAGAATGTCCATACTTTTTGTGGTCATCATGACGGTCGAATTCTAGCTGCGCAGAGGACCCTTGGGCCCTAGGAGGCGCTGTATGATCCTTGCTTGTAGCGGTGGTTTCGTCCAGAGAGCAGAGTAAGTCATCGAGGATGATGATGGAACATCGCGAGAAAAGGGCTCGAGCCAGTCCTATGCGCTGTTTCTGTCCTCCGCTCAAGTTGCAGCCGTTACTTCCCGTCATCGTTTCGTCGCCATCTGTAAGATCATCGAGATCCTTGGTGAGATCGCACGCCTCTATAACATCGTCGTACAGCGACTCGATGAACGGAAATGCGCCAATTAGCTGTCTGGGATTGTGAGATTTTGAATCCACGGTGTCTGGGCGGCGTAGGCAATATGCCTTGTCGCAATGTCAATAGAGCCAGTATAGATAGGCAGTTCACCAAGAATAGCACTGAGAAGAGCTGATTTGCCTGTGCCAAGTCCACCGTGGATTATCACGATAGAGCCTGTAGTGATTCGAAGTGTCACGTCTCTGAGAATTGGTCCCGTCAGGTCGGAAGTCTATGAAACGTGGTTTAACTCGACAGCATATCGGCTTGAGTGCAAAGGCAGACAATTCTTTTCATTATAGCCAGTACTTTGCGAGGTTGGTAACCCGCCACTGTCACGCGTGTCTGATAACTCGGGAAGCAGGAGAAGTTTTTGAATCCGCATCAGGCAGGCCCATCCGCCAGCAAAGTACGGAAGAGCTCGCTCATGAGTAGAGAAACAATCAAAACAATGGCATATGTGGCAAGAATCTCGGGTACAGCCATGGGGTCGGCGGCGCGTGTCCAAAATCGAGCGCCAGCAAAGATGGCCACTGGAGCCATTGTATTTCCGAAAGCGTCTGTCAAGTTTATATCAGTTCCGAATTCTCGCTCAGGTTGGCAGAAAGGGCTTTCTTCATTTTACAGATGGCAAAAATGAAGATGCGTGCATTGCGTTCGCTCATTGACGTGCCAATTTCGCTGAGCGGTTTTTCTTGTAGAAACTTGGATATGGCGGTGTTCAGTCCCATGGCTTTGATGTTCTTGAGCTGGGCCAAAACGTTGGAAGTAGATACAACGCGGGATTGGATTTTCTCGTTCCAGACAGTCCTGGCTCCTTGCATCTACTTCGATGTGTAGTATGTTGCGACTGAGGCAACTCTGAATAGTGAAGGTTATTTACTCGCAAGGCGACCATCTGCTAGGGACAGACTGATCATACTGATAGTGGGTATCAAGATCAGGAAACAAGCTGCACCGACAAAATTGAATAGAACAAAGATGCCAAGGCCAAGTTCGATACATGAGGCCCACGTGGAATGCAGTCTGGTCAACAGCTGATCGAGGCCAGCAATATCCGTGGTCAACAATGAAACAGCAGCGGAAGCTGCCAAGTCTTCCATGCCTAATCTCTGGTTTTATTGTAGATGGAAATGACGAGGATACCTCGGACGCAGGTCTTTGCTTGATATTGGAGTCGCTCGGAAATTGCTCTTGAGATCTTTGGAGATGAAACCTTAGCTCGTAACATCACACACGCACCAGTTGAGAAGGACAGAGGCTCACCACCAAGCCACCAAAAAATCAGGATTGTAGCGCCAATTAGGCCATTCGTTTGAGACTGCAAAACCGCACAACCGCTGACGCTGTCCATTGCATCAAGAATGGTCGGGCAAATGAAAAGCCAACAAGACATAGTCGAGGTAGTATCGAGTTCAGAAATTCCCAGTAGAGTGTGCGAACTCCGGCTCGAATCAGTGGCCATTTGGAAATTGTGGCAGCTGCCAATGTATCCCAGAACGGCGTGAAGCGGTTGTAGAGCTGTTCGGGGTTGTCTTGCTGGCCAATCGGTGGAAGGTCTTCCACTTTCAAGTGCTGATGACTGCCCTTCACCACAAGGCGAGTGACCCATATCAGCATGGATCGGTTCCAAAAGCCGCTGAATCCCTCCGTGCCCGCATTATCGCGAATTTTATCAGAATAGAGCAGGTTGCGCTTCGGCATCTCTTCCAAAATAGCGAGCGCCAGCTTCAGTGTAGCGATCACCGCCTACAGAGCAGCTATGGCGGCCAATCCGCCTCTCATAAAGTAAGACCGGGCCATCGTGATATCGAAGAGCATGGTGATGGGCAAGAAGATGCTCAGTAATGCTGACTGACGGTTGGACAGCATAGATGTAGGTGATGTAAATAATTGCGAGAACGCATACAGATGCGGCAAAAGACATGATTGCCGCTGCCAGAGAAACAATTGTGCGAGCAGCGCGGTACCAAAGAATCAGACTGGCTAGCTGGATGGCGACCAGGGCAGCGCCGGGGCGAGCTTGAACCAGAGCAGAGCTCCTGGTCTAGCCTGGCAAACGGCACGAGCAGCGGTTAGCATACGGGCAGGGCCAAGACAATGATGCCTGTGGGGACGAGGCCAAGCATGGTATGCTCGAACAAGATGGTGAAGTCGAAGCGGCCGACGTCGGCCGGACCAAAGTGAGTGTCCATCTTGTCGAGCATGGTGTTGGTGAGTCCACAGCTGGACAAGTAAGGGCGACGAAATAGGAGAAATGCCTTTAGGGCAGATACTAGTGAAAAAAATTCTTTGCAGAAAGCACCTGCGCCACTTCGGCTTGTGAGATGGTGAAGGTGGGAAAGAGGTGGAGGAGATGATACTATGATAGTGGTAACTAGTGCCTACAATGGTCGATTTATGAGAACATGGGAAATGAGCGATGGCGAACTTGCCAGTAAGCAACAATTGAAGCGAAACGTCGGCCGCGTACCTCGCGCATCTGTGTATTGGCTAGACTTGATAGAAAATCTGGTACGTAGCTGCGGAGAAGCATCGAAGAAACGGGGATGATCGAAGCGGCACGGGGACAGACTGCTTGGCCGGTGGAGATCAGAGAATTCTGGGGCGTTCAAGCAGCCAGGGAAAAGACACATTATTGAAATAGTAATGAGCAAACCAAGGATGGTGACAGTGTATGTGGAGGCCGGTTTTCGCCTGGCACTTGTGTGTGGTTGGCAAGTGGCCAGCGGCTCTGACGAACTGCTTTGCTGGCATTGGCACCACCATATTGACTTTGGTTATCAGAAAAAATATCTTTTGATGGAAAAGTTGCTACATCGTACACGCGAGCACATGCAGAGACCCGCGGGGGGGGGACTTGTGACGCGGTGCTGTTTGCGTTATTTTCCCCACCAAACTGCGTCTTGTTGTATGCAAAGGCGGCGGGAACGACGGCAAACTATACAGATAACAGACAATATCGTATCCTGACCGCGAAATATAACAAGGGAAAGACTGCGAAGCAAACGCCAACGGGGCTTATAAGCGAGTCTCGGATTTGAAGCGGAATGGAAGTGCGCATGAGCTGGTGGCTCACGCTAGACGAAAATTCCTAGATTCTAAAATCCTTAAATTAGCGCCACACGGCGGCCGGCCCTAGGTAGATTCTCGTAGCGCACTACATTTCGGTTATTGCGTTGTTTTTCATTGGATGGCTGTTGTTTATGCCGGGCCTAAAAGGTGTGCCCCCGGCCGGATTCGAACCAGCGACCTTCATCAAAGAAAGCCTTCCCTGATGTGTAACCACTACACCACGGGGCGTACCCATGACACACTATTATGCCCCCCCCTCTTCGGCGACCGTAACTCCATGCTCGGAGGGCAAGGACAAAAAAAAAAAAAATTAAAATTCATAGGCCACTGGAAATTAAATCCGATAAATAGTCCCTCGGCCACCAACCTTTATCACCACCAGTTACTTCATCGCTCGCAAGCTCCCGCTCGTCCGACTTCTCGACCTGACGTGGGATAAAATATACTGAACTCCTCAATAATCTCGTCATAATGCCTCCAGCAAAGCAGTGGGGTAAGTTTCGTCTGCCTTGGACCGACGAGGTGGCTCATTTCGTGCACGCGAGTTATGCGCGCAGCCGAGTGGTAGATGCCATCACATTATATTCGCGATCCTGTATCCTTCTTCAGTGCGCACCTGTGGAGCTTGAATTTCGCCTGCAACGCTCCATACGCGCCTCTTCAAGTAAGATGTGTGCAACCGGCTGACTATCACTCTCCTTCCCAGACAATGAGGACAGCGAGTCTGATACCCCTCCCACCTCACCTGTGGTTGCCGCCCCCCGCCGACGACAGTTTGACGACGAAGAAGACGACGATGATGTAAGGCTCCCATAATGAATGCAGATTTTCGAGAAGAAACCCCTCTCTGCTGAAATCTCCAAACATGGACGCTGACAGCTTTCCATCAAGGTGCTGGACTCTTGGGATGCCGCCGAAGACTCCGAAGTAGAGCGCGAAAGAGCGAAGAAGGCGGCCGAAACGAAGGGGAAGAAGTCTGCCGAGGACGCCGCCAACAAGAAATCTAAAGTGCAGCGCATCGCTGATCATCAGAAGGAGCGCGCGCGCATGCGTGAAGAGGAAGACGACGAGTCCGAAGAAGAAGATGAAGCCGAACGCCGCGCTCGCCTTCGTCGCACCGAACAGGAGGCTGATCTTCGCCATGCCGAGGACCTCTTTGATGGCATTGGCATCAGCAACAACCGTGCCAAGACCATTCCCGGCTCCAACGTTGCTGTTGATTCCAAGGACTCCGTCAACACCGTCGACCTTGCTAAACTGCCCATTTTCAATCCCCAGACCAAGAAGCAATTTGAGCAGCTTCGCCAGGTTCTTGTCCCTGTGATTGCCGCTAACGGCAAGAAAGGTCACTACGGCCTATTTCTCGAAGAATTTGCCAAGGAGCTCGCTAAAGAGTTACCTAGCGAGCAAATCAAGAAGATCGCGAGCTCTCTCACCCGCGCTGGTAACGAGAAACAAAAGACTGAGAAGTCTGCCGACAAGACTGGCAAAAAGACTAAGGCTGCTAAGACTAAGAACTCGCTCGTCACCACCCGCGCCAACACGAATGACATGGAGACGTACGACAATGACGCCTTCGGCGAGTGCGTGAATATACTGCTTCCACACACACTCGAAGATGACTGACGCGCTATATAGTGACGACTTTATGTGAAGATCTAATCCACGGTCCACGTCAACTTAGCAAACCGATTGGCACCTGCTCCAGCAAGTCTTCAGCAGTACTATAAGCGCGTATGGCATGCACATGGCGGCCGCAGTCTTAAACGCCGCGCCAAGAAAGACAGTCGCTCTGCGATATATGAAATGGGGAAAGGCTCACAGTAGCGCATGCTCCCAGAGCTTGCTCGACCGGCTCACTGTCAAATCGCTCTTGCCCTCTTTGTTGTCTCGATTTCATGATGAGACGCCTACGCTCTTACCGTCCGGAACCCGGAACAACGCACTGGATGGGTAAGAGATAGGACGAGGCACTGCGGCCTGGCTGAAAGAGAGCATGGGAAGGGGGGAAATCTGGCATCTTTTGTGTCTTTTTCGATTGTCTTTCGTGTCATCACTCAAGTTCAAGTCCGTCATTTGCTCATTGCCCTTCAGTATTTACTGGTCACATTCTCGAGACTGCATTTCGACTCGAGTTTTGGGAACGATTTTCATTGACTCATTATCCTTTCACATCACTCCTTCAGACGGTGCTCTTCTACTGCCATGTTGACGACCTGAACTGTTCTCATAGCTGTTTTGCGCTCTGCATTCGCCACTGATATGCGAGTTCATTTAAACCACGACCATTCTGTGTCCTGTGTAGACCGTCGTGAGCAGGATCCTTATGTACATGACACCTCTAAAGTCGTCTGATCAGGTCTAGGCATTAATCTTTTCGCACCGTTCCGTCAGTATACATAGCATTCCCCGATCAGTGACAGAAAAGAAAAGAGTTACCAAGAGCAGCAAAGACGCCAAAAAGCACAATAAACATGAGTGCTAAAACACCCACCCAGAAACGCCGGTGGCTAATGTATACTGTACAGAATCTATTATCTGCGAAGGTGCAAAGAAGCAATAATCCAAAACGCTCAAAGGAGTTTCAATCCCTTCAAATGCATCGTTTCGGAAAGTAGAGATGTTCTCTTATAGGTTGAAAACGACGTTGTTCCTCGCCAGTGGATGAGAGTACGTGAGCCAAGAGGGCTAAACGACGTTGCCCGCCATGCCCATAAAAAGAGCGTGGATAGCGAGCGACAGGGTCCAGAAGCCCACCTTTTTGAAGCGGCGCACGCGCGAGTTTCGGTCTTCAATGTCTTGCGCAAAGGCCTCGTATGTCTCGGCGGACGCGTCGTCCATCAAGCCGCAGTCAAGGACGGTCCAGGAGCCGTCAAAATCGCTCAGGCGCTTGACTATGCGGCACGAGATAGGTATGTAAGTTTTCTTGGCGTTGATGTAGGCCACAATGGGGCGGATCAGCGCTTGGTTGACGTAGGACATGTCCTTGGTAAATAAGGGCATCGCAGCCTTAACGTCGTTGAGATGAATTCGCAGGTCCATGATGAGAAAGTGCCGGTCTTCATCCCCTCGGGCAAACGCAGTCGCTTTGGGCTCCTCTTCCAACGGTGGCGGTGCTGTAGCAGCTTCTGAAATGTGACCGGACTGGACCATCAGAGGTTGAGGGACTTCCCTGACTATCGTGTTGCGGATAAATCGATTCCTGTTGGCCGTAACGACTTCTTCAAGCTGATCGTAGAAATCCATCATGACCTTGCTCAGGCTCTCTTCGTTGTCCGCAGGGAACATGACGTCGGCAACAATGTCCACGTCGCCTTCATAGATCCATCCAAAAGGACCTTCTACGCCACGGTTCAGATGGTCAATTTTGAGCCCATCAATCCTGAGGCGGCTCGACTTCTTCCAGGCCTTGGATTCGTCGGCATCTATGAGTCTTCCCTGAAAATGATTGGATGGGATGCCGTGGACTTGACGAGGGTGAATTGTGAAAAGAGACCCGTCAAAAGAACCAGACACGTGTGTAGCAGCCAGAAAATCATAGAAAATCCACTGCTTTCGCAACTGTGGCAACTCACAAGAGTAAATGCTCACAGAGAATGGTCGGAAACCGTTCGGTTGGTGTATGGTTACCAGCAAATCTTCAAGTTTGAACGATTCAATCTCGAAATCGCCCGGTTGATGCTCATGTCTGTATGAATAGGGGTCCAAAGGGACAAGCGGCCATCGGACGGATGTACGATCGATCACACCACGGACTCCGTTAACTTCCACATCTTTCAGTAGACCCTTTCCGTCCCACCAATTGAGAAACGAAAGGGTGACGTTGACGTTGGCAATTGTCATGTCAAATTGTGTGTAATTGCCATCATCTTCCGTGTCTTCCGTGTTGGCGAGCTGCGCTTGACGCCCCGCCGCCGCCGCCGCAGCCTCGTCATATGAGCCTTTGCTGACCGACGACTTGACTTGTCCCGGACGGCGAGAGACAAACACGTTGCGGAACGCGATGACACCATCTCCCCATTTGGGAACGATGGCGGATTCAAATATTACGGTGACCCCCGCTGACTGGGTCAAGTAATCCCCAACCCATTGCGCGAGAGTTTCTAGGAAATCTTTAGCATTTGATAGATAAGCGAGAAACCGTGGGATGCACGACTCACCTTGAGCAAAGACCGTGTTGATTGAAAGTATAAGCAAGGAGAAAAAAGTTGTCGTCCCGACCAAGATCCAGACAAGATGCCCGAATAAAAACCAGGAAACGAATGCGCCCCATTCGTCCGCGTTCCACGGGCGCATACTCCTAATTGACATCCATTTCAAGCGCACCCTTAAACGCTCCCAAAAGCCGTTCGCTGCAGCCAGCAATTCCTGTTTTGTTGGCCTATGAGGCATTCTCGGTAGGTGCAAATACTTAGATACAGAGGCAGCTAATGATTCAGCTTGGCTCTCTTCCTTGGGAGAATTCTCTGTGTACGGTATGCTGCGCTGCGTCTCCCTTTCGTTTTTCGGGCCGATATCTCTTTTTGCTGTTTCTTGCGATCGAATGTCTTTCTTGGGAATATGGCTGCTGTTTGACCGGCTCGATGGCATCCATACTGTGTGAAGATGTGGCCCATTGAAGGCGAGCCTCTGCGAAACCATCGATGTTCTGCTGGTGCAGAATGGGAAACCATGGGGCACCTGCTTTCTGGTAATCTGCCTACTATGTTGTTTCGGCGTAGAAATAGTGATCACACGTAACGACAGGGAAGACGGTAGCACCTGATAATGTCGAGAACTTTTCGATGGACCAAAAGCCTGGCGCAATCCTCCCAACCCTGCGGCAGGTGTAGATGTTAGCCCAGTCGCACCGAAGCGACCCCAAACGAGGCACGACGGTATCAACTTAGACATTATCTCGGATCATGGCGCTCGAGTCAAATGCGACGACGCCGAAGGATGGGAGCGATGATTCTGCTCCCAAAAGCCTGGATGCGAGGGCAGTTTCTCAGAGTGGATGGACCAGAAACAGGGCGCAATCATCCATTCCATATTCCATGACGCGCTATTACCGGCGCCGCTTTACCAAAAGAACAAGCAACGCTCAAGCGCTAATACAAAAATATAAACCCTGGGTGCCTGGGTGCCTAGGTATGTAGCTAACCAAACACACTAGCTTGTCCAATCGATAAGCCGGACGAGCCCACTATTTCGAAATTTTGGCATGTCGACGTGGAAAAGACCTGAAACGATCGTGTGAGACTTTCTTCACCACTGCATATCTCAAAACTTGAATATACTAATATATCCGATTTTGGGCACTGGATTACTGCCAAGCCTCAGCTGCTCATTCCCGACAGCTATTGAACAAAGCATAAATCGCAAATAGCCCACGATGCCCGCACCAACCGCTTTGAAGCAGGCTGATGAAGCCCCGCTCCCCATGGAAAGTACTGTCGTCGAGCAAGGTACGCGGAAACTTGCCCATGGCGAGCAATCGCCGTGCTGACTCTTTACCTAGATGGCGGAGACGAATTTCTCCTTGACGCCGAAGCCGTGCTCGGCGAGGGAGACTTCATGGCGCCCCAAGATCCTGAAGGAGACGACTCTATGGCTGTCGACGAGGAGGGCCGACCTCGATTTGCCCCTTCAAAGAATATTGTACGGTGTCTTGCATGGACGATGCATCGAAAAAGAAAAAAGCATCGCTAATTCTCCCAGGATCTCGTTACACGAGTCGAAACTCGCAAAGTGCCAATCCCACCGCACCGAATGACGCCGCTCAAACATAATTGGACCACCATCTACCCTCCTCTCGTCGAACATCTTAAGCTCCAGTGCCGTATGAATGTGAAGCGCAAGACGGTGGAGCTGAGAACATCTAAACACACTACCGACTCCGGTGCCTTGCAAAAGGGAGAAGACTTTGTCAAGGCGTTCACATTGGGTTTTGATGTCGACGACGCCATCGCGCTACTTCGCCTGGACGACCTATACATCGAAACATTTGAGATCAAGGATGTGCGGACCATGCATGGCGATAGTCAAGCTCGCGCCATTGGTCGAATCGCGGGCAAGGATGGCAAGACAAAATTTGCTATTGAGAACGCCAGCCGTACGCGAGTCGTCTTGGCCGACTCCAAGATCCACATTCTGGGAGGCTTCAAGAACATCCACATGGCCCGCGAATCAATTGTCAGCCTCATTCTTGGAAAGCCTCCTGGGAAAGTGTATGGAAACCTGCGCACTGTTGCTGCGCGCATGAAGGAACGATTTTAAACGATTGCAGCACCGTGATATCTTTGCAAAAGCGTTACAGCGGCGTCTGGAGTGTGTCGAATTTGGAGTACGGCCCTGGATGGGTATTCAACTGATGCGATGGTTACAACACTGTGGATACAACGCGGTAGCTTAGGTATGGCTATCGTTTGACTCTAGCGTTGTCGAACCAACCAATTGCGATATAACAGTGACTGACTGAGTTCGGAGTACACTGCACAAGAATATTACAAACATGGCACTGATTCCGTGAAAGCTACAGTGGGTGTAGGTGTGCCAAATATGCAGTGCTACTCATAACTAGCGAAGAAAGACAATGGGAGCACTACAAATGGGGAGGGCGCACCATTTTGATCAAAAGGGCCGATGTCGCGAGCGATTTTCACGCGAGTGACCAAGTCGGGGCCACGGGTTTGAGCATGAGGTGAGCCAACCTGGCCGTGATTGGAAAAGCGTACGATGTGTCCATAAGTCATTCACGCGGTTCGACATCCCGGTGTGGACTACCAAGGTAAGAGGAACCTCGACTATGGTGGGCACGAACAGTGAAACCACCGTAGATGGGCAGATATTTATCTGACCTGAGGTTTCAACGACTTGTACCCACACTCTGCTAGTACGTACTATAGTGGGTCGTAAGTAATTCCGCTCACGACCCTGAATCGCACTAAAATGCCTACTTTTAAACGCCTAATACTATAAGGGCTAGTACTTAAAATTATAATATTTTAACTTATAATTTAGTTCTTTAATACTTAGAAAATGAAAAGATATTTCTAAAAAATATTTATCAAGTTTACTTAATTTATAATATCTAAATAAAAAAACTTCTTAAAGTATTTTATTAGTAATATCTACCTTTTTATCCTTTTCTAATTCTATAAGATATTATCTAATTAATCTTAATATTTAAAAATCTAGAAGAATTCTTAAGTTATATATTACTTAATATTCTATTTTTAGGTACCTAGTATAGGATTATACCTACTTACATATATAATAAAAAATTTACTTAAAAAGTATGTATTTAGTAGGATTTAGGGCCGTGAGCGGAATTACCTTGGATGCATTGTAGTCTGTAGGTATACCTTGCTGGTGAGCCCCACTATTTTGACGTAGCACTGGCAAAAGCTGGTGGATGATGAGCGAATGGCGACCACACCTGAGGGTACTTACCAGAGTAGTTAGTTTTGTTAGGTTTTCAAAGTATCCTACAGGTGCGTGTTGCCCCTCCCTCGCCCCTCCGTGGTCTTTGGCAGATGAACAGCTTCTCGACCAGAGCTGGACCATTTTCCTCCCAACATCTCCCTCTTCCTTATTACCCCTTTTGCCAAATTTGAGATTTATAGGATCGTTCCCTATCAATCCCATCTCACGGTGAGTTCTTTTCTGCTTCAATGCCTCACGATACCTCCTTAGCATCCTACCACGACGCCAACGCTTTACTCCGCCAAGCCAGGTTATCTTGAGCTCTGCAAAGATTGTGTGTTGAGGCATATTTTCGTTTAGATGTATTGTGAATCACAATCAACTCTGTCAATCCTCTTGAAAGCTGTTGCCATCCGTTTGAATTATTCTAAAGCTTATTCGGTTTCTACAATGTTCAATACTGCAATGCGCTCCTCATTTTCGCCCAATTGCGGGGGCGTCGCCTAAGCTCTTTGCTAAACAAACTACTGACAACCTCTCTTTGATTAGAATAACAGAACAGAACTCCCGAAAGACAGTCAAGATGGCCATCACCAAGGTTCACGCTCGTTCCGTCTACGATTCTCGTGGCAACCCCACCGTTGAGGTTGATCTCGTCACTGAAACCGGCTTGCACCGGGCTATCGTCCCCTCTGGCGCCTCTACCGGTCCGTCCCGACCATCCGTCTCCTCTTGCCGAAACAGCATCGTAACCGATTGTCACAGGTCAGCATGAAGCTGTTGAGCTCCGCGATGGCGACAAGGCCAAATGGGCTGGCAAGGGTGTCACCCAGGCCGTCGCCAACGTTAACACTGTCATTGGCCCTGCTCTGATTAAGGAGAATCTTGATGTGAAAGACCAGTCCAAGGTTGACGAGTTCCTTAACTCTCTCGATGGAACTCCCAACAAGGGTAAGCTTGGCGCCAACGCCATCCTCGGTGTGTCATTGGCCGTTGCCAAGGCTGGTGCCGCTGAAAAGGTAAGTGCATCGCGTTGTCTAGGCTGGCGCCTACCGTGTAGATCAGAAGACAAATTAACCGAATCCTAGGGTGTCCCTCTCTACGCTCATATTTCAGACCTGGCTGGTACTAAGAAGCCATACGTTCTCCCCGTTCCTTTCATGAACGTTCTTAACGGCGGGTAAGTTGCCAAAGTAACGCAATGTATGCAACATCGCTAATCATTATAAAGCTCCCACGCTGGTGGCCGCCTTGCTTTTCAGGAGTTCATGATTGTTCCCTCGTACGTGTCTCGAGTAGATCCAGCGATGTGAATGCAAGTTAACTCGAACACAGTGAGGCTGCAAGCTTCACCGAGGCCATGCGCCAGGGTGCTGAGGTCTACCAGAAGCTCAAGAGTCTCGCCAAGAAAAAGTACGGCCAGTCCGCTGGCAACGTTGGTGATGAGGGCGGTGTTGCCCCTGATATCCAGACCGCCGACGAGGCTCTCGACCTCATCGTGGAGTCCATCGAACAGGCTGGCTACACCGGCAAGATCAAGATTGCCATGGATGTTGCTTCCAGCGAGTTCTACAAGACCGAAGAGAAAAAGTACGATCTTGACTTCAAGAACCCCGAAAGTGACCCAACCCAGTGGCTCACCTATGAGCAGCTTGCTGCTCTCTACGGTGACCTCTGCAAGAAGTATCCTATTGTCTCCATCGAAGACCCCTTCGCCGAGGATGATTGGGAGGCCTGGAGCTACTTCTACAAGACTCAGGATATTCAGATTGTCGGTGATGATCTGACTGTCACCAACCCCCTCCGCATCAAGAAGGCTATCGAGCTCAAGGCTTGCAATGCCCTTCTCCTTAAGGTCAATCAGATCGGTACCCTGACCGAATCTATTCAGGCCGCCAAGGACTCCTACGCCGACGGTTGGGGTGTCATGGTGTCCCACCGCTCTGGTGAGACCGAGGACGTCACAATTGCTGACATCGTTGTGGGTATCCGCTCTGGCGAGATCAAGACTGGTGCTCCTTGTCGCTCTGAGCGTCTGGCCAAACTTAACCAGATTCTCCGCATTGAAGAGGAGCTTGGCGATCTGGCTGTCTACGCCGGTTGTAACTTCCGCAACGCTGTCAATCAGTAACTGGGCGGCTATGGAGTGCTGACATGCGGCGTGACGGGGCATAAAGATATATAAGCAAAAAAAGGGAGTGATTAAATGATGAACGATACACTAGTCCCACATAGCTAGGCCACTACTTTAGACGACTTACTCCTGTTATAATAAATATCGAAAATCAATCACAAGTCGATTTCTCCTTAGAGTAAGTAATAAAAGAAACTACTAGTAAATATTACGAACGAAGCAGCATAAGGTAGCTAGGGAGGCAGCCTGAACTAAAGGCTAGGTAAGAACCTACACTTTACCTAATTAAGATAAAAGGTTATATAACTATATAAGGATTATAAGTATATTATAATCTAGTAAACTATAAAAGATTATAGACTTAATATAAACTAGTAATCCTAGGCATATAATAAAAAGATAGATAAGTACTTAAAGAGGAGATATTCTTATAACTAAATAATCTAAATCTTTATTAATTAATTTAAATAATAGTTTTATTATTAAAAGTTTTACTTTTAATAAGACTTTATATTAAAGATATTATTTATTATTATTTTATAATATTTTAACTTAACTTATTATTTAAGAAATAGATAATTATAATTTAAAAATAAGTTATTATTATAGTTTAATTAGTTTTATTTAGTAAATTACTTTAAAAACCTTAAGTAATTAACCTTTTATAATATTTATTATAAATAAAAATACTACTAACTTTATATAGATTATATAATAAATATATTAGTAGATTATAGCTTTAATTATATAAGTTTAAGTACTTTAAGCTAACCTAGGAGAAGAAGTTATATATAATATTCTTAAATTCTTAAAATCTAAAGCTTTTAATAAAATTAAAGAAAGTATTTATATCTTTTTTATTTAAGTTAAAGTTTATTTAAAGATTAATATTATTATTAATAAGAAACCTTTAAAGATTTTTATATTAAAAACCTTTTTACTAATAAAGTAATAAAATAATAAAAGCTTATTTTTAAAGATTATTTTAATAATAATAAACTTAAAATAAAAACTATTTAAATCTTTAATAATTATAATAACTTTAGAAAGTTATTTAAAACTACTTTTAAAAACCCTAATAAAATCTAAATTATTATATATAAACTTAAAATACTTAAATAGATATAATTTATATAATATTATATATAAAAGTTTAGATATATTATTATTATTATTAATTAAAATAATAATAACTAAATAGAACTTTTTTATAATAAATTTTCTAAAAATATAAAAGATAAAGTTTTTAAAAAGACTAACTTAATAACTTTAATAGATTTATTATATAAACTATTAAAATTAATAACTATCTTTATATAAAAAAACTTAAATATAATAAAAAAATTATTAAAATAACCTTTTATAATATTATTAACTAAATATTAGAAAATAATAAAATAAATCTATAACTTATAAAATTTATCTAGGCCTAATAAAACTTAAAATTAAAAATAAAAAAAAAGGTAAAACTTATTATAATTATAATAAAACTAAATATTTTATAAATAAATATTAAGTCTTTAAAAAAACTTAAAAACTTATAATGAAATTATAAAAATTAAATATAATTAATTAAAATAAATTATTTACTTAAAATATTAATATAACTAATAATAAAAAATATTTCTTAGATATTAATTAATCTATAATATATAATAAACTTATATTGAATAAAGATTGAGATTTTTAAAAATATAACTTATTTTAAATAAAGAAGAAAACCTCAAAATAACTAGATTAAAAATTAAAGTAAATATTAATATAGTTTTAAAATATCTTTAAATAAAAAAAAGGATCCTAAAATTATTAAGTTAAATATTAAAAATCTATTTATTTATATATTAATAATATTACTAGAAATAGAGGAAGATTATATTATAAAAAGATAATTTTATTTTAAGAATAAATAACTTAAAATAGTTATTATATATAAAATAAATATCTTAAACTTTATTATATTTATATTAATATTAATTAATATTAAAATAAAATTATTAAAATAAGAAAATAAACCTATATTCTTAGAGTATAATTTTATAAACTAAAACTATATAATGTTCTTATAAGTTTTTTACTTTTATAACTATTATTAATAACACTTTTAAAAGAAATTAAAATACTAAATATTTTTAAGTTTTAATAAAAAAAATAAAATCTTTAATAAATATAAGCTTTAATATTAGAAGTTTAATAAGTAAAAAAGAGATTTTATCTTTTTTATTAAAAACCTTAAAGAAGATTATTATATTAAAAATAAAAATATTTATATTATTTATATTATAATATTAGAATATATAAAAAAAGAAAATAATATACTAATAAATAGTTTACTTAGTTTAAATTTAATTAATATAGCTAGTAGATTAAGTAATTATTAAAAAAGCTTTAATATATTAATATAAAGTTAATAATAATAAAGATAAAAAAAGATTAAAAAAAAGATTAAAGAATAATAAATTATTAATATTAATAAAACTAATTCTTTAATAAAAATCTAATAAGTCTTTATTTACTATAAATATTAATAGTTAAGTATATTTTATAATTAATATAACTATAAAAAGAAAAATAATCTAGATAATAATTAATAATAAAATATAAAGAAATTTTATTTTACTAAATTTTATTAATAAATTATAATTATTTTAAATAAAAAAAGATAAACTTTATTAACTTATAATTAAAAAA